CTCTTTTGTTTAATCCATTAATATATATCATAACTAGAGCTTTCTAAAGCGGCTTTAATAATTCTAATGTAATGCCAAGACAGCCACAGAACTTAAATTAACCCAAAAATGATGCTCTGTGACACAAGTCATTTAGAAGAAATATATCTCTCTCCTGCCCTGTCATGCCATTACAAAACTTTATTGTAAAGCAAGTCAATGTCATGCAGCCACAGACTATAATCTTTTTCTTGCCCATAGCTTTCATTTGGAGCTTTTGAGACTCTGAGAGGTGTTTTGGGGTCTTCTTTCAATCTTAAAGCTGTCAATTTTTATTGCAGAATACACCCAAAAAACAAACATATATGATATACAGCCTCCATCCATAATGGTCTTGGAAGAGAGATCACAGAGATACAGTTAGATAATGGAACAACCATTTTACGGGAGCAACTTCACAGGGAAATGCTGGTGAAATCTTGGCTCTGCGAAGAAATTTGACAAAAGTAATGGGAAAAAAAAGGAGCACAAAATGTTTTATTGTTTGTCAATGGACAACTAAATTCATAACATATGAATCATTGGCTAGACATGCACACACATGAATCATAAAAACTATGGAACGATCTGTGAGTGATAAAAGATTTACCAAAAATCCTATATTACCCACACACTACAACCAAGACCTACTGAGACCAAACAAGGAGAGACAAAGGAAAAACACCACCAAAAACGGTGTGATTAGAAGAATTTTTTCTGAATACATGAATGAACTTGAATAAGATAGCTTGGATGGCAGGGGAAGCATGTACTGAGTGTGAGACTTAGGGAACATATTCATTTTCGAGGGTTGTGAGTTCGAGTCACCGTTGCCGCGTGCTTTTGTCTCCCCAACTGGTGTCATCTGCAGGGTTCACCCAAATCTGCGGCCTTTTCATCTGTTGCATTTTCTTCCTATGCTTGTACTTCCCACCCATATTATCAGAAATGCCAACAGCCCCAACAGCGCTAATCCACCTAGAACAGACCCAACAATTATCCAGACTTTTGAATTACTCTTTTTTCCTTCACCCTTTGGCTCCCCCTCCACCAGGTGGCGGTATGGAGAAACTGGTGATGACTGGGGGCATAGACTCAACAACTATAGAAAATGCCCCGTTCGACGGTTAAACATGTATTGCCTGATACCACATTGCTGAAATTCGTCAAACCATGAAATCAAACCAAACACACTTCGGAACAGATCCCTTGGTGCTTTGACATTATCTTGGAACCTGATTGATATGGGATCAGCAGATGCCCTAATACCTAATCCGGTAATTTAGCTGAAAGTTAACAGCATCATAAGCAAGAAACCCAGTACTGGAGCCAAATAAGTATAACCCGGTAATGGATAATATGTATTAGACCATTGCCCAAGTTTTGGTACACCAAAACAAGCCTCTCCACATAAGTTGCTCTCATAACCCCATGGGATAGAAATTCTTTGTACGTCTGCACACCTCTATTTTCTCAGTCCCACTTCTGAGCCTCATTGCTGCAATCTGAATCCCAGTCAAATTAGAGGGAACAACCCATCATAGGTAACACCAGTTTTTGGACGAACAAAACCCTATAAGCTAGTCGGAGAAGGGCACTAGAGCACGGGCAGAAGGCCTGTACTAGACTGAGCCATTACATCCAACAAGAAGAAGAACCATATCATCAAAACAAGCATCGCGAGACTTCGAAGAAGCCCCATCGATGCTTTCAACCCTCCAACTTGCCAAAAAAAAATAAAAAAATAACCTTGTAAAACCCAAATAGAGAACCTGACTGAAAGCGAACAACAAACAATATCCACACAACCCCTTAACACCTGAGTCCAAACAAAAAAAAGGGTATGCTGGAGAAATGCAGTAAATCTCTGAAAGAAGCTTCAATATCTGGCTTGAGAAACTAAGAGTTGGTGTCACGTCGAGCGTGACAACGGTACTGTATAATAAATAAATTTTTCTCTCAAGATTATATAAAAGCGGCTTTGAAGGTTTCAACCGTTGAAGCTGTCTTTCTTTCTCTTTTGGATCCTTGTAAAGAAGCTGAACTCACTATCTCAAGATTATGGACTAATACAAAAATCTTTACAAAACTCATCAACTCCAAGAAATTAAGCCCATGATTCTCCCATCTCTCCATTAACACCCAAATTAAGCACAATAAAAGCGAGCCAAATTAGAGAAAAGTTTAAAACTTTTCCAATCCAACGTCATAACACACTTCCTAATTGGATTCGAACAACCACAAAGGCTAAAATACCTGATTCCGCTGCCCACCCACAAAATCTTCGACTGATACGGCACACAATGATTCACATGAATCCACCATTAAAACCCTAGAATCTTGAGATATATCATGTCTACTTCCTTCCACCCACAGCAGGATCAAACTAAGCAATGCAAGCACAAGCAATCGAGTAACGAGTCTTCCCAATTGGCTACCAAAGAGCAATCTTTGCATTTCAATTAAAACCCCAACACAGCTCCAAACGTAGGCGACCCACTCTCGTTAAAGAAAAATGGATGATGGGTTTTGGATCCAAAGCTCCAAACTGATTAATAATGTCTCAGAACAGTGTCTGATACCAAATACAAAATATATATATATATATAATATATATGGAAAAAAAAAACAAAAATTGTGAGAGAAAAGAAGAAAGAACACAAGAAACAGATAAATGGAGAAGGGGAGAGAAAGAAAAAAAAAAGATAAGCTTAGCTAGCTTAAGGAGATGGGGGGCAGAAAAAAAAAAAAGAAAGTGAAAGAGAAATTTGGAAAAGGGCTTTAGGGGAGTATTTATATAATATAATGCCATAATTCCTATTCAATACTTCTTCTTCTTCGTCTTCACACTTCACTGTCATCTACTCTACAACTCCACATGTCTCCTTCTTCCCTTTTTGCCCCTTCTTGTTAAATTACATTTTTACCCCTATTCTATTCGTCAATACTATCTCACTCTTTAGTTTTGAGAAACTATCTATGTCGCAAAACATGTGTTCCTCTCAACATAATGTAACGACTCTTACTGTTAGATGAATTCCGATTTCAATAAAGGTTAAATGATACACATACAAAACTGAATCTTACGCTATGTAACGCTTTTACGGTTACATTATGATTGAGAGTGTTAGAAATTGTGTTTCTGTCATACCTAAACTCAACCCAATTATATAGAAACTTGCTCACTCCTTAGTTTTGAAAACAACTATCGTTTTTTGTTCTGATACGATTAACAACGAGTGTGTTCTCCTCACATATAGATTACGTACTCTTGTTGGTTATAACCGTGAGATTTCATAAAGGTTAAATGTTATACATACAGTTGAGATTTTTACGTGTATTTTAATTATACGACTGATGATTTCTTACAGTTAATAGTTTATTCTTATTATCTATATTTCAATATCGTAATGATTTTACGGTTACATCGTCTAAAAGATGCTTGAAATTGTCGTTGTACCTCAACTCGAAACCCAAAATTCAATAGAAAGTTGCCTTTGTGAGTATAATGTCACTCATTTTCAAACTTATGATTAATCACTAAGTAAATAATGTCAGAAGATGTGTCAAAGATTATAGTTCTTATATAAGTAAAAATTGTCGTGGTATATGTATTTATCCCTTTTTTCATGTGAACATGACACCAGCCTTTACCTGTCTCTTTCTTCAGAACTTGTTTTCAATAAACAATGTATTTGAAAACACTGAGAAACGCAGTTTTGGGTTAAAATTCACTAAACCAAAACATGGGGGGCTTCTTGATATCCCAAGCTATTTTTCCAACATTCATCCTTAAAAAAAAAAATAGAAAAAAATAAAAAATACCAATTCTATATTCAATTAATTTGCCAGTCTTTCTGCTATCAAACAAATTGGCCCACACTTGCACATGCCCATTCTTGTCACCGTGACCAAACAGGTGCTTTTGGACAATTGCTGGAAGGTTTGACCAAATGGTCAAATGTTAAAAGGTTAAAACGTCCATTCAAATTGACTCACCCGCAGGTAGCCAATATAATCATACGAGCATCCGTGTTTAAGCGATAGGCCTATTTGAACATCCAGGATTTAAGTTGTGGACGATGGATTGCTACGTTAGCTCCTCCTCTCTCTCGAGATGCTATGCCAAACCTTATGAAATGATAAGTACTTAAAATTCAATTATTTGATTGATTTGTATCCTTTAATGGATATAATAATGAAAATGGAATATCTATCCAATTAGAAATTCAAAATTTACTTAAAAAGAGCTTTTATAAAGGTATATATTTGCATATAAGTGAACATATGAAATTAGTAAAATGTGGAATTTTAATTATATTATAATTTGCTAATACAATACAAAATAGAAGGACCCACTAATTGTTTGTTTCTCACCAAGAAATATTAGTGACTCGTGATGGGCCGTCGTCGTTTTGCCACCAATGGTTGTCGTTTGGCTCCACCAAACCAAATTCCATTTGCCTTTTATTATTATTTCTATTTGCATATATCCATGGTGATGATGGATGGCTACTACATAAAAGCCTTTCACCAAACTCACACTTATTTCCACCATCTCTTCAAACCCTAATCTTCTTTATGCTCATACAAAGGTGCAAACCCTAATATTCTTATGTTCACACAATTTTCTCACATCCCCACTTACGTTCGTAATCAGATGAATCAAAATATGTATCATGCGTAAAATAAACTCTCATGATGTCCGGCTAGCACTCAACCAATTTTCGGGGTTTATCCAATACCGCTAAAAACTTCAACTAATTTAAGCCCATCCTTGGATTTTTTTTTTCTAATATTAAAAAAGAAGAAGATATTTTTCAAAAACTTTTGAGGGGTAATTCGGTCATTTAGCAACCCAAATATAACTACTTTTACTCATGAACTAAGTGGTGTAGGGATGTAAGTGTGTAATTTTGAAACCACAGGGGGTATAAGAAGTTTTCGATAGTACAGGGGCCTGTATTTAGTTACACCCGATAAATGAAAGAGGAACACAGAGAGCGATAGGCACCGTAAAAACAGTAGTTGTGTTTGAAAGAAGAAGAAGGAGATGTCGTTGGTGTGGTTAGAAGCAGCTTTGCCACTGGGAATAATTGCTGGAATGCTTTGTGTTATGGGGAACGCTCAGTATTACATTCACAGAGCTGCTCATGGACGGGTATTTCTATTTTCTATTTTCTTTTAATATTTATTAGATCAAAATCAATTCTTCATTTAGATTCTCAATTCTTTACTTCTTGATTTATAGCCCAAGCATATCGGTAACGATATGTGGGACGTCGCCATGGAGAGAAGGGACAAGAAGCTCGTTGATGCTGCCGCTTCTTCTAATTAGGTCTTTACTTCTATCTTTTTTAATTGCTATTTGTTTCTCTTCTGTTTGTTCAATTCGTTATATTGCATTCAATTCGAATTGTTATAGATTGTTTACTGGGTAGGATCTTGAAAGCCCGATTTGTATTGGGCTGCTAAAATTCGATTTTTATGAAAATAAAAATGCCTTCTTTATAAGATTTCATTCTGGGTAGTTTTAGTTGATGGGTTTTGAAACCTATAGACTTCAAAGCTATGTAGTTCTGTACTGCGTCAAATCTTAGGAGTACTAAAATGGATGTTACGGATTTTCAAGAGTATGTAGAAAAATAATTCATGGATGAATGTGAGGTCCATTAAGAAAAAAAGTGGCCAAATTTTCTGAGGAAGTTATACTATGAGAAGGAATGGACAATGGAAAGTTTCCTGGAGATATGATTTGTGGATGATGGTGATGTGCAATGAAAAAAGGTACAGAGGTATATCCTGCATGATTACAATTTAGATACGGAGTTGTAGTTTTAATCAAGTGAAAAGATTTATAGTTTCTGATGCTTTTTTGACAGTGATAACCTGCTTTGCATTTGTTGGTAGCAATTGAGGACTATTTAACTTTTTTACACCATGGTTTCCCTCGAATGTCTTTAGTTTTTTTTTTTTCTCTCTTGCTCCCTCTTCCACACACTGATAAATATTGCATTCTCCTATATGCGTGCACGCACACACATTAACCTAGATGCTCCTCACAATTTACCTCATGATGACCATCTTTTATTTAAGGTTCCAAATTTCTGAATTTTATGTTCTTCATAGTATATTTGAACTTTATAGGCTCCAAACTCGAAATTGATTGTCTGGTTGATTTCTTGTATGGTAACAGTATACAGCTTTCTCCTACTATTTGATAGATAACTAGCTGAAACAAACTGAAAAAAAGTTTTAAGGAAGTCCAATCACTCTTCCATGGAAAAAGTGCAAGAGATGTAGCTTCATTTCTTTGAATTTAATCAAAATTCTAGGACCTTCCTCGATGAAGAGAGCTTGGATACTTTGATGTTGAGTCATTATTCATTTTCATGTTGTGCTTGATATGAAGTTTACTAGTTGATTGTTGTTCCTGCAAGTGGGGAATAAGACATAAGTTACTACTACTAGTGGTGCCATGTTTTCAAATCATAGTCTACAATGTCTTAGTGCCATTGCCCTCCACCTTTGTGATTGCCTCTCTTTTTGTAAGCCTCTGTCATGTTATAAACACAAAATAATTTTGATACTGTCATCCATGCAGTGATTTAGTTTTATAATGTAAAAAGAGTTACAGAGACGGGTGTGAAATATTAGGTAGTTAGATACGTATATATTTTGGGGAAGAAACCATTGCTACAAAGTGATCAAGTTATAGAAGCATATTTGACAAAAAATGTTGAGATATTTGACTTCTGATAACTGCCAGAGGTTAATTTTGGTTTAATTAGAATTTGGTGGTTGTGGAGTTGACCCAATATAGTCTGAAGGAATAGCACCGTTAATGTGTTTTGCTTCCAGGAAATGGTTGAGACTTGAGAGTCATCTTTAACTTTTCTGGAAGTCTTTTATCTTGCTCTCCAGCCAACCTCTTGTCCCAGATACATAATTAATGTCCAGTATGCAACTGTTTTCAGCTGAGACCTCAAGATTTTACTGGAGTATGAATGATTCTCATTTTCTTTTTAGATAAATCCAAATTTGTATAACTAAAATGAGGTAATTTCATCTCAATAGCTGTTCGGCTTGGGACACTTAAGTGAACCTGAATATTGCTTCTCTACTTCCATAGTTAGCTGTTTCTTGATACCAGGTTCTGTACTGAAAATTTGAAATAGTTGAACTGTATCTGATGTTGAAATAATACTTTGAAGATCCTTATCTGAAGCCTGCTCAAAACTAGGTTAATTGCTTGCATTTGCTGCATTTACCTCATGAGTGCTCCTATCCCTTTATTACTGCCAGATGTAATAATTTGTCTTAATCAGCCAAATGAATGAAAAGGGAAACTATGTTTCTCTCTTTTGCTAAAGACCAAGATTTGCTGATCTGTAACCCACGTAATATTGCATTCCGCGGGATGTGTATAGACTAGGAATATCAAATATTTACATTTTTCAGTTGAGTGGAGATTTCTTTAATTTTAGTTCTTGATTAATGTGAAGACTTCTGACTTTTTGTGGTTGTTGGTGTGTGTGTGTGTGTGTGGGTGGGGTGGGAAATGTGATTATACACATGTCTAATCATGGGTTTCAGCAAAGACCCCAACTTTCTTTAATGTGTACCTTTAAGGAGATTGATGCCCCCACCAAGTTCTCCCCACTTTTAGTAGTTTATATGTCACTTCTTTCTCTTGCTTTGTCTCATCTTTCTGTCCTCTTGTATTCAGGGTTGTGAGTCTCTGTGTATATGATATAATGACCATGCATGTGAATGCAGCTTCGCTTACTGTGTTGTGGTAATGCAGGAGGCTTCGCCAGTGGATTTGGGAAGGATGAATAAGTGCTCATCGTATATTCCAGCTTAGCTTATGAAGATTGACGAGCAGTTGTCTTCATATCTATTTACTTTTCTTTTGTATGTGAATCTGCATACATTGTGAACTGTTTTTAAGGATAAATGTCTTTGTCTGCCATCGAAATTACTTCTTAATTGGATTGTTGGAGCTTTATTGATATAAAAAATGGTCGTGCTTACCATCTTAATGCAAACGTTTCGATGTAGAATGATGAAACAAAGATTTTGTCGGTGTGTTTTCAACTGGACCATGATAATATCTGAAGGAGGTCCTATTCAATTTTATGGTACAATTTTCAAAGGGCAAAATGCAACCTAAGAGTAGAAGGACCACTTCCATTAAGAGATGTTAGAGATCTGTTGGAGCAACCGGACATAGATGAGGAGGGCTCCATTTCCATGTGACATCTCAATCGTGCCCAATTTTGGCTAACCCTGATTGCTTCCATAATTTGATGGGTATCCCAATCCCACCTGCCATTATTTTGTTTAGAGGAGTTCCAGGTTTAAATATCAGATGATCCAACAATGAGAACAAAACAGTCTCTATATTCCATTAAATATGTGAAGCAGCCAGTTTTGTTTTTTGTCTTAACAGCTTCATCAAACATTATAATATATATATACTATTCACAGGGTGATGTCACAACCGTCGGCTCCTCAAAGAATCACGAATTAAACACACAAGTCCTAGATATTCCCATGCCTACTTAAACTAATAATAAATTATTTATATTACATATTCTAAAGTCTAAATACTTCTGAAACCATTGCATTCCAGAGGATTTAGAGTATGGAACATGGCCTCCAGTTATAGAGAATCTGAAAATTGGAGTTATTCTTTATAGTCTACGGTAGTGTCTAAATCAGCTTACGTATACCTTGACTAATCTTTCGGGTTCTTGAAGCTAACAACTGAGTAAACCCTCTAATGACTATTCTATTAGCAACTGAGAAGAATTGAACTCAAGACATTTTGAATAATACACCAAAGAGTCTCTATCACCCTACTTCACCCAACTCTCCAGGGATGGTTTACAAACTCAAATTCGAAGTCCTGAATATGATCATCTTTAAGAAGCAAAAACAATGACGGGGTAATCTTGTTTTGCAAACTCAATTTTGAAACCGTATCGAATCTAATAATCTTTAAAGTTTCGAAATCATGTCTAATCCTAAATTTTTTCGGAAGTAAAAAGGTAATGATAGATAGTTAATCCAATAATCTTTAAGAAGCGAGAGACAATGACGGATAGTTACCAGTCATATATAGCTGCCAATAAAAAGTAAACCAACTACCAACCAAGAAATTGTTTTTGAAGTGTTAAAGAAAGAAAGAAAGAAGGAAAAATAATAAAATAGGTGTCGTCAATGATTTTCTGGGCATGGGTCCAACAACCGTGTATAAAATTGATTCCCCCATAGACATAAATCGTTTAATATCTTATTTCTGCACTGTGCTGGGTCCATTATTGATTTGGTTTTATTAATGCTCTTCTTGGCTCTTTCGCAGAAATCCTTTTGTTTAATCCATTAAATATATATCATAACTAGAGCCTTCATAAAGCTGCTTTAATAATTCTAATGTAATGGCCAAGACAGCCACAGAACTTAAATTAACCCAAAAAGTGGATGCCCAGTAACACAAGTCATTTGTAGAAGAAAGTATCCTGCCCTGTCATGCCATTACAAAACTTTAATGTAAAGCAAAGTCAATGTCATGCAGCCACAGACTACTAATCTTTTTCTTGCCCATAGCTTTCATTTGGAGCTTGTTTGAGACTCTGAGAGGTGGTTTTGGTGTCCTCTTTCAATCTTAAAGCTGTCAATTTTTATTGCAGAATACACCCAAAAAACAAACATATATAATGAATATACAGCCTCCATCCATAATGTGCTTGGAAGAGAGATCACAGAGATACAGTTAGATAATGGAACAACCATTTTACGGGAAGCTAACTTCACAGGGTAATAATGCTGGTGAAAGTCTTGGCTCTGCGAAGAAATTTGACAAAAGTAATGGGAAAAAGAAAGGAGCACAAAATGTTTTATTGTTTGTCAATGGGACAACTAAATTCATAACATATAGAATCACTTTGGCTAGACATGCACACACAATGAATCATAAAAACTATGGAACGATCTGTGAGTGATAAAAGATTTACACAAAAATCCTATATTACCCACACACTACAACCAAGAGCCTACTGAGACCAAACAAGGAGAGACAAAGGAAAAACACCACCAAAAAACGGTGTGATTAGAAGAATTTTTTCTGAATACATGAATGAACTTGAATAAGAATGCTTGTGGGAATGGCAGGGGAAGCATGTACTGAGTGGTGAGACTTAGGGAACATATTCATTTTCGAGGGTTGGTTGAGTTCGAGTCACCGTTGCCGCTGGTGCTTTTGTCTCCCCAACTGGTGTCATCTGCAGGGCTTCACCCAAATCTGCGGCCTTTTCCATCTGTTGCATTTTCTTCCTATGCTTGTACTTCCGCACCCATATTATCAGAAATGCCAACAGCCCCAACAGCGCTAATCCACCTAGAACAGACCCAACAATTATCCAGACTTTTGAATTACTCTTTTTTCCTTCACCCTTTGGAGCTCCCCCTCCACCAGGTGGCGGTATGGGAGAAACTGGTGATGGACTGGGGGCAATAGACTTTACAACTATAGAAAAATGCCCCTGTTGGACGGTTAAACATGTATTGCCTGATACCACATTGCTGAAATTCGTCAAACCATGTAAATCAAACCAAACACACTTCGGAACAGATCCCTCTGGTGCTTTTGACATTATATCTTGGAACCTGATTGATATGGGATCAGCAGATGCCCTAATACCTAATTCCGGTAAATTTTTAGCTGATAAGTTAACAGCATCATAAGCAAGAAGACCCAGTACTGGAGCCAAATAAGTATAACCCGGTAATGGATAATATGTATTAGACCAATTGCCCAAGTTTTGGTACACCAAAACAAGCCTCTCCACATAAGGTTGCTCAATAACCCCCATGGGGATATGAAATTCTTTGTACGTCTGCACACCTCTATTTCTCAAGCTCCCACTTCTGAGCCTCATTGCTGCAATCTGAATCCCAGTCAAATTAGAGGGAACAAACCCATCATAGGTAACACCAGTTTTTGGACGAACAAAAGCCCTATAAGCATAGTCTTGGAGAAGGGCATCAAGAGCACGAGCAGAACGGCCTGTACTAGACTGAGCCATTACATCCAACAAGAAGAAGAACCATATCATCAAAACAAGCATCGCGAGACTTCGAAGAAGCCCCATCGATGCTTTCAACCCTCCAACTTGCCAAAAAAAAATAAAAAAAAATTAACCTTGTAAAACCCCAAATAGAAGAAACCTGACTGAAAGCGAACAACAAACAATATCCAACACAACCCACTTAACACCTGAGATCCAAAACAAAAAAAAGGGTAATGCGTGGAGAAAAATGCAGTAAATGCTCTGAAAGAAGCTTCAATATCACATTGGCTTGAGAAAGCTAAGAGTTGGTGTCACGTCGAGCGTGACAACGGTACTGTATAATAAATAAAAATGTTCTCTCAAGATTATATAAAAGCGGCTTTGAAGGTTTCAACCGTTGAAGCTGTCTTTCTTTCTCTTTTGGAATCCTTGTAAAAGAAGCTGAACTCACTATCTCAAGATTATGGACTTAATACAAAAGAATCTTTACAAAATCTCATCAACTCCAAGAAATTAAAGCCCATGATTCTCCAGCATTTCTCCATTAACACCCAAATTAAGCACAAATAAAAGCGAGACCAAATTAGAGAAAAAGTTTAAAACTTTTCCAATCCAACGTCATAACACAATTCCTAAAATTGGATTCGAACAACCACAAAGGCTAAAATACCTGATTCCGCTGCACACCCACAAAATCTTCGACTGATACGGCACACAATGACTCACATGAATCCACCATTAAAACCCTAGAATCTTGAGATATATCATGTCTACTTCCTTCCACCCACAGCAGGATCAAACTAAGCAATGCAAGCAAGCAAGCAATCGAGTAACGAGTCTTCCCAATTGGGCTACCAAAGGAGCAATCTTTGCATTTCAATTAAATACCCCAACACAGCTCCAAACGTAGGCGACCCACCCTCGTTAAAGAAAAATGGTTGATGGGTTTTGGATCCAAAGCTCCAAACTGAATTAATAATGTCTCAGAACAGTGTCTGATACACAAATACAAATATATATATATATATATAATATATATGGAAAAAAAAAACAAAAAATTGTGAGAGAAAAGAAGAAAGAACACAAGAAACAGATAAATGGAGAAGGGGAAGAGAAAAAGAAAAGAAAAAAGATAAGCTTAGCTAGCTTAAGAGGAGATGGGGGGCAGAAAAGAAAGAAAAAGAAAGTGAAAGAGAAAATTTGGAAAAGGGCTTTAGGGGAAGTATTTATATATAATTTAATGCCATAATTCCTATTCTAATACTTCTTCTTCTTCAGTCTTCACACTTCACTGTCATCTACTCTACAACTCCACACTGTCTCCTTCTTCCCTTTTTGCCCCTTTCTTGTTAAATTACATTTTTACCCCTATTCTATTCGTCAATACTATCTCACTCTTTAGTTTTGAGAAACTATCTATGTCAAGCAAAACGAGTGTGTTCCTCTCATACATAGATGTAACGTACTCTTACTTGTTAGATGAATTCTCGATTTCAATAAAGGTTAAATGATACACATACAAAACTGAGATCTTTACGCTATTGTAACTGCTTTTACGGTTACATTATGATTGAGAGATGTTAGAAATTGTGTTTCTGTCATACCTAAACTCTAAACCCAAAATTATAATAGAAACTTGCTCACTCCTTAGTTTTGAGAAACTAACTATATCGTTTTTTGTTCTGATACGATTAACAACGAGTGTGTTCTCCTCACATATAGATGTAACGTACTCTTGTTGGTTAGATGAACCGTGAGATTTCAATAAAGGTTAAATGTTATACATACAAAGTTGAGATTTTTACGTTGTATTTTAATTAATACGACTGATGATTTCTTACAGTTAAATAGTTTATTCTTATTATCTTATATATCAATATCGTAATTGATTTTACGAGTTACATCGTGACTAAAAGATGCTTGAAATTGTCGTTGTACCTCAACTCGAAACCCAAAATTCAATAGAAAGTTGCCTTTGTGTGAGTATTAATGTCAACTCCAATTTTCAAACTTAGATATTAAAGTCATAAGTCAACTAAGTAAGAGGGAGAAAAATTTTTGTGCGTTTAGATAGGGGTGATAATGTCATTTATCCCTTTTTTTTTTTTTTTAATGTGTACACATGACACACACATGACACCAGCCTTTGCCTGTCTCTTCCTCTTAAAATCCAGAACTTGTTTTCAATAAACATGTACTTGAAAACACTGAGAAAACGCAGTTTTGGGTTAAAATTTACTAAACAAAAACATGGGGGGCTTCTTGATAATCTCCAAGCTATTTTTCCAACATTCATTCCTTAAAAAAAATAAAAAATAAAAAATACCATTCTATTATTCAATTAATTTGCCAGCTCATTTCTGCTATCAAACAAATTGGTCCACACTTGCACATGCCCATTCTTGTCACCGTGACCAAACAGGTGTTTCAAGACAAATTGCTGGAAGGTTTGACCAAATGGTCAAATGTTAAAAAGGTTAAAACGTCCATTCAAATTGACTCACCCGCAGGTAGCTTAATGATAATCATACGAGCATCCGTGATTTAAGTGATAGGCCTATTTGAACATTCAGGATTTAAGCGGTGGATGATAGGTTGTTGCGTTAGTCTCCTCTTCTCTCTCGAGAGAAATGCTATGCCAAATCTTAGGGGTGACATTATAATTTACCCTGTATTACTCTAAAGTCTCGTTTTTATCTTTTCTTTTAAGTTTAACTTCATGGATTACGATAAAAATGAAATGATAAGTTACTTAAAATTCAAATTAATTTGATTGATTTGTATCCTTTAATGGATAATAATGAAAATGGAACAATATCTATCCAATTAGAAATTCAAAATTCAAAATTTTACTTAAAAAGAGCTTTTAATAAAGGTAATATGATTTGCATATAATGTGAAACATATGTAATTAGTCAAATGTGGGATGCACAAATTATAACAAAAATTATTAATTAATTAATTATAATTTGCTAATACAATACAAAATAGAAGGACCCACTAATTGTTTTGTTTGTCACCAAGAAAATAATATAGTGACTCGTGATGGGCCGTCGTCGTTTTGCCACCAATGGTTGTCGTTTGGCTCCACCAAACCAAATTCCATTTGCCTTTTATTATTATTTCTATTTGCATATATCTCATGGTGATGATGGATGGCTACTACATAAAAGCCTTTCACCAAACTCACACTTATTTCCACCATCTCTTCAAACCCTAATCTTCTTTATGCTCATACAAAAGGTGCAAACCCTAATATTCTTATGTTCATAACACAATTTTCTCACAATCCCCACTTACGTTCGTAATCAGATGAATCAAAATATGTATCATGCGTAAAATAAACATCTCATGATGTCCAGGCTAGCACTCAACCAATTTTTGGGGTCCATTAAATACCCTATAACTATAAGTCTAATAAGTTAGATAAGTTACAAATGTAGTAGACGGTCACTTTGTAGGACTTAAACACAACCCAAATGGCTAAAGTCTTGTCAACCGACAACTAGGGGTGGCTAACGGGTCGAGCCGCTCGCTAGCCGGCTCGACTCAGCTCGAGTCTAGCTCGTTATATAACGAGCCGACTGGGCTCTGTTCGTGAGCCAGAACAAGCCGAGTTCGAGCCGAGCTTGGCTAAAAAAAAATTTGATTTTTTTTCTAAAAAAATTGAATTTTTTAGAGTCGGCTCGCGAGCCGGCTCGAACTCGACTCGATATATCCTAAACTCTTTCTCGAGCCGAGTCGAGCTGCAAATTTTATAACTAGGCTCAGCTCGATTAATCTTCTTCTCTCATGAGCCGAGCTCGTTAAGCCTAAAACTCAGCTTGGCTCGGCTCGTTAACACCCCTACCGACAACAAAGCTAGTTCTCAACCTACTTTCATTGATAAACATGATTCAACATTCCATTTGTCTTTATCTATTAGAGAGTCCATCAATACACTAAAACATTAGGTCAAATTCTATCTGGGATAAGAACCAATAAAGTAAATTAAGATCATAATAACAAAATAAGCGTGGATAAACTACCTCGCTGTTTTCCAAATAGAAAATAACTCTTCTAAACCATTAGCCGTGTGGCTAGATGACAAGATTTGACCCATCTTAGTGGGTTATCTAGAAGTCTTGTGTTCGGATCCTACAGAGTGACCATCTACCACATTTATGACTTATCTAGCCTATAGGACCCTAATTATCAGAAAAAGTATATCAGTTTGTATATTTAATTTGGAGTAATGCTACAGTTACCGAAAGATGTGTACCGAATTCGTGCACCGAATGACGTGATGCAATATTGACCGTCGATTAACTATGAATTAATATTAATCAACGGTCAAGATTATGTCACGTCATTCGGTGCGTATCCTTCGGTAACTGTATTATTTTCCTTTAATTTGTACATGCAACATGCTCTTTTGATACATCTAGATTAGAATGTGCAGTTGATGATGAGTTTAAAATTGAATCTCAAAGGCTTTTATTTCATACATAATTATGAAACTTCAATAGTATCTACCCCCATCCATGAGATTAAACGGATCTTGTTAATGGGCCTGGACGTGGCCCAACTTGAAACAAACTGGGCCGGGTGAAGTACACAAAGACATTAATATTAATAAATAAATAAAGTATTATTATTTTGTTTTGCTCTCAATTACTCAGTCTCTCCTCTCTTTGTCTTCTGGCGCTCGCTAAGAGAGAGCGAGAAAAGGAAACAAGAGAGGAACAAAAAAGAAAAATAAAATAAAAAAAAGCAAAGCCCTTCCTCAACTGTTCCACCATTCCCTCCTTTGGTTGACGATCCGAAGATAACATTGAAATTTTCCGATACTGCAATCGGCGAAGCGAAGCTCCGATTCAGCTTCCCCCGATGCAACTCGTTTCCTTCAAATCACGGCGTTTCTTTGGTTGACTTTTCGTTGTCTCATTTTTATTGTGTCTTTTTTTTTTTTTTGACTCGATTTAGGGTTAGGGTTTGGTTTTTCCATTGAATGATATTTCTCCTTCTTTAAACAATTCTTCGAAGTTTTCTCCACGGAGTTTCGCTTTCGAAGGTATGTATTATCCCTTTCTATTTGAATGCATTTTTTATTTTGTTTTATTTATTAATGTTTTCCTTCTTTTACAAGCAAATTATTTGTTAACTTTTTGAATATCTTTTTTGGTATTTTAGTGATTGATTGTGGTATGTATGGTGTGAATAATAAATGAATGGCTAGGGTTAGGGCATCTAGAGAAATGGAAGCGTCTGGTACCAATCCTGACGCGTATAGAGGTACTTCTGGGACGAGTAGTAATTCACGAAGATATGGAATGTTTTCGGCTTCGAATATAATTCAGGCGCCGATATCCACGTTGTTAGAGTACTCTGGTCTTTTGAGAACGAGGCCAAGTTATCAGGAATCAGAGTCGTTGATTAATGCGGGTGTTTCATCTTCTCACATTAATAATCATAATCGACTTGATGATCCTACTGTAAACAGTATTAATAATGGAGAGGTTTCGATTAGGATAATTGGCGCTGGGGAGCATGAACATGAGAGGGAAGGGTCTGCAGGATTGGTGGTTGGGCAGGCGAGGGAAGTGAGTGGTCAGAGTGAAATACCATCTGTGTCTTTGGCAGCTGATAATCAGGGAGAAGGTAGAAGTGATCGTGGGGTGGCGGCTGGAGAAGGCGCTTCACAGTCTGCTAATGGAAATGGTGATGCAGAAACTGGGGATGGGGCCGGGGTTAATGGCAGGGACTCATCTTATCAGAGATATGATATTCAGCAAGCTGCTAGGTGGATTGAACAAGTCCTTCCATTCTCTCTGCTTCTCTTGGTCGTCTTCATTCGCCAGCATTTGCAAGGTACTTCTTAGCTCTTCTTCACGACTACTTACTAATCTTGCTTTGTGATGGACACTGTAGGCAATTAAGTAGGAGAAGATTTTCGCTTTCCCTGCTTTACCGTATTTCCTTTAGTTTGATGATGATGATGGTAGGTCTTTCTTGGGTTTTCCTTGTAAGTTTTAGGTGATTTAGTTCAATGTTGCTTACATTCTTTCTTATAAATGTGAAATCATGTGGAATAGGTGGAGGAATTGTATTTTATCTTGAGGTGTTGGGTTGTCCATTCTTATAGAATGGTTTGGAGGATACTTGGTGGCACATAGATGATATTGCTGATCTGTCAGCAGCCGTTTTCAGAGATGAGATGAAATGCTATTGGAATTATAAGCAAACTGATGGTTTTCACATGATAATAAGTAATCTAGGTTGTTGATGGTAAATATTGTTTTGTGAAATGAAAATTCAATTAACTCAAAAGAGTTACATGGATAGTGTAGCTAATGGTACATCAGTCTCATAGATAGTGGTTCTTTATCTCAGTATTGATAAATTTATTTTAACTGAGTATTCATTCTGTTTTAATTAATGGCAACATCGACATTTCTCTGGTTCTGTCAGTGTAAATTCTGAATACATCATTGCAATCTGAAACTATTTTCTTTCATCTCCACTTCTTATCAAAGCCTAATGCATACGGATGCATGCACACATACGCTCTTTACTCTTTCTCCTCCTCCGACCTCAAAGCCTAATACATTTGTGTACATTCACAAAAAGATATGCTCTTACTCTAGCAATCATGCACTCTTACCCTAGAAAAGAGAAAACTTCAGCGATGTAGCGCTCATTTCCTAATTTTCTGAACTTTACTAAATCTACAGTTTTACTCCCATCTATGTTGGTCAGTATGGTATTCCTCTTCTGCATGAGGCTGATATATTCCATCTAAGTTTTTGTATAAAATATTCTGTAAAGCATGGATGATTCTTTCCTGAAATGAGATTTGTTGGAGTTTCATCTACTAATTTTTTTTATTCTTATCATGTTTTGAGTTGCACTTACAACAGTTGCTTTCTTCTGGTTGGTGATATTTGCCTATTTTTGGAGACTTGCAGGTTTCTTTGTTACTATTTGGATTGCTGCTGTGATGTTCAAGTCAAATGACATTCTACGGAAACAAACAGCTTTGAAGGTGCTGTAAATTCTATTCTTATTGCTTGATTGGAAAATGGAAGTGAGAACAGTTCTCACCATTCTTTACTGTACTAAAATAAAGCATTGCAATGGTTGGTGTATGCAGGGAGAGAGAAAGGTCTCTGTTCTGATTGGCATCTCGATTGCGTTCATACTTCATGTGCTTGGTGTTTACTGGTGGTATAGGAATGATGATCTTTTGTACCCATTGGTCATGCTTCCTCCCAAGTCCATTCCACCTTTCTGGCATGCTATTTTCATCATCATGGTGAATGGTATGTTCTTTTCATCAAGTTAATAAGTTTCTAGTTCTTTTTCTTTTTCCTTTTGGTTTTTTTCTAATTTCCCTCAAGTGTATTGGAGTGAAGGTCTTATCTTATGATATTTAAGTTTAGGCCTCCCTAATGTTATGCATTTATTCATTGATTAGATAATTCCTGGATGTGTTGGAATAAATGTTATTTTTGGTAGTCATTTAACACGAGTTTTTTTCAGATACTTTGGTCCGGCAGGCAGCAATGGTGTTGAAGTGCTTTCTGTTAATGTATTACAAGAACAGTAGAGGCCGAAACTATCGAAAGCAGGTGGGTGATATATGATATAATGCTCTGAAAGTTTATATGCCAGCTGTTCGGTTTAATCTTCTCAAATTTGTGTTTTCCTTATTGTAATTTTGAACATGATATATTCCTTGTCATTTCCTTTTGCTCATTGTTTGTTAGAAATAGATTATTTGGTTTCTCTCTGATTTTCAATTACCCTTTGAATTTAGCACATTATGACTGTAGAAATTCTTGTTTCCAGGGTCAGTTGTTAACATTGGTTGAATATCTGATGCTGCTCTATCGTGCCTTGTTGCCGACACCAGTGTGGTATCGTTTCTTCTTGAACAAAGAATATGGTAGCCTCTTCTCATCATTAATGACAGGGCTGTACTTAACTTTCAAGCTCACGTCTGTAGTTGAGAAGGTAAGATTTTCCACAGGACGATTGAGTTCATCTTAAGTAGAGAGTGGCTTAATTTCTGCTTTTCTCATTCCTCTTCTTCTTGTTTTCCCCTTCCATGGGTATGGTGATTTCAGGTGCAATCCTTCTTTGCTGCACTGAAGGCATTGTCACGTAAAGAGGTTCATTATGGGGCTTATGCAACATCAGAGCAGGTAGTTTGAATTTTCTTTCCCTCAACTCAAGCTATATGATGAACTAAATATTTTGTCTATATAATATTGCAGGGGCAACATGCCTACATGCTAATCAATATTTCATTTCATTCATATTACCAAATTCATGTAATTATTGATATGTTTGAACTCTATGAATAAAATCTATTGTACAAAAAATGGAATATATAAAGAAGAAAAGGGAAGTGCAGAAAAAATGAAAGCTGTAAAGAATATCTCTTAAGCAGAAGAAGCTTGTTAGCGCATTCAGCAGATTTCTTTTTGACAATATTGGCAATTTGCATGTTTGGCTTCTTTAAGTTATAAACATGCTGCAGTAAAAGCATGAGTGAATCATTTGTTCCAAATAATGCTTTGTTTATTTTAGTGCCTTTTTATCTTAAATATTCCTACCATCTTGGATGCATTTTTACTTGAGACGCTCGCCAATATATTGTAATAACGTTGTTTTGCAATGCCTGTAATATACACCATCGTGTGCCACCATATCTGATAATTTGTTGGTTTGAGATCATGAAGTGTCCAGAGTTGTATGTTAGACTCTTTGTGGTTGTTATTCTTTACTTAAAGCGGAAGTTGTCCATGTGAATGAAGCTACATGTTGTCTGATGCAGGTAAATGCAGCTGGGGATCTGTGCGCTATATGCCAGGAAAAGATGCATGCTCCAATTCTACTTCGTTGTAAACACATATTTTGTGAAGATTGTGTCTCAGAATGGTTAGTTTGTTGGTTTCCTATTGTCATTCTGTTTAATGTTCTTCCTAATCTGCATTCATAAAGTTTAGTTTAATGAATTTTTGTTTTTCATCTTTCACGTGATGTAAAAATTACTTTTAAGGCAAATGTATTGACAACAGTAATCAGTTTATTTCTATTCTGGATGACTAACACCTGTGTTTACAGGTTTGAAAGGGAAAGGACTTGCCCGTTGTGCAGGGCTTTGGTGAAGCCTGCAGATCTCAGATCATTTGGTGATGGATCAACTAGTTTGTTTTTCCAGATATTCTAATGTGATTAATGTAAAAATGAGGAAGTTTTTCTGCTATGAAGCTAAGAAATATTCATTCAAAGAAGCCTTCTCCTTCTCCTGATTTATCACCTACACCAGTAAATTTGCTGTACTCCACTCTGCCTTGTTCATGGGTGCTGAAGAAAGTGAAAGCGTTTAGTGATGCATATAATCGAACTGGTTTTCTCTTAGTATATGTTGTGGAAGAATGTTGAAGATGGGAAATATGTTGAATGTATCTAATCGAGCCATTAAATTACAGGATTTTTTTTTTTTCTTCAAGACTAACAATATAAAATGTCAAATGTTCAGTTGCTATAAATGAAAACTTCCCCCCACCCCCACTTTTTTTAACATTTTCTCATCGGTGCGATTAATGAACTTTGATTTTATGAAGTGTTCAACATCGAAAGCCATATAGTGATAGAGTTGTTTATTCCAGTGTTTTGATACCTGGCATGGCCCGGTCGGTTGAACCGGGACTCGGGGCCTTCACTGGGCAAGTTATCACTTTTAACTATTCACTCTAAACCTTAGAATTATGGACGGCAAGTCGGTGATTGGTGAGTATATGACAACAATTATGTTAGGGCTTTTGGAGAGGGAGTGTTGATGAATCCAAAGGTGGTGAAGGGAATGATTTTTGATGAGTTAATCCGAAAAAGGCAAAAATCAATCGAGCAAAATAGCGGCCTGTTATTGGTAATTAGCGAAGTGAAGAGTGAGGGGTGAGATAGGTTTTGGTTAGGAGGTTAAGGGGAGTGTTTTCGTGCTGATGGAGATGTTGTTGTCGGTAGAACGACCTTATTTGGCGTGGGGGTGGCGATGCAGGTGTGGTGTTTGGAGTTTTGCAAGGTTTCAAATATGTAGGGACTCTATGTTATTTTAGGGGTATTTTTGTAATTTCAAACCTTTGGACCTGTTTAAACCGATTAACAATCAATCGGGACCCGCCACTTTGTCGGGTTTTCACCCAGGTTGGTTATTAAAACATTGGTTCATTGCTTTGTAGTTATGTGGTATAAAAAAGCCAAAAGGAGTAACAAAAAATGGGATTTTGCCCAGCAGCTCCAAGGGTTCAATCAAATGGTCGATTTTAGCATCAACAAATCAGGACTTTCATTTGCAGTTGAAAACCAAACACTAAACTAAACAAAAGAATGAGCAATTCCAACTTTTTATTTAATAACAAACCCAAAAAATTGCATACGCAACTTACATGCGCAAAATAAGAACTGCATGCAAAAAAATAAGAAATAAAAAAGAGGGATCACCTCCCTTGCTTCTCCCCTTCCTCACAGATAAAAACATGAAGAAAACGAAGGTAAAAAAGAAACAAAAAAAAAATGGAACAAATGTTACAAACTTCTATTTCAATAAAAGTTGATAGTAAAACTAGAATCAAACGGAAGATTCGGAGGGTTTTTTTGCATCATCTTCTTCAGGTACCTTGGTGGTACTTGGTAGGTTTGTTGGGACATCATTTTGCAAAGTTTCATCTATTCCTTCTGATTGGACCAGAAAGATTTCCTTCGTTACTTCTTCAGGTACCTTGGTACTTGAAGGGTTCGGCAGGCTTGTAGAAGGGGGAGCCTTTGATGGTGATGATGGGGATGTAGGCGAGGGTGGGGAATCAGAGAACATCTTGGACAATGGGGCAATAGAGATGGGGTAAACTTCTGTCACTTCTTCAGTGCCCTCATCCAAATACACAACATCCTGCATAGTGAGTTGGTGGTATTCAACAATCTCACGAAGAAACCGGTTCTCACGTGCATATATCGAGTTCTCATTGGCCAAACGAGCCTTCTCAGCCAAAAGGGTCTCTAGTTGAAGGCGAATCTGCAGTAAAAATATGCATATTCAAAACAATTATAAATTGCCCTCCAGTAAATTGACAACCGCTGACTATATGTCCCAGTCTCTTACAGAATGTGTAAGGAATATAGAAATGTGCCCACAGCTAACTACTTACAAACATTACACTTATGACAAGAATCAGATAAACAGAATAACATATTTGCTGCATAAAAGGAAAAAGTATGTTTACCAAATCATCATCTGCAGGGTTTTGCCCCTTCTCACGACTCTCACGAAAGAGTTTATTCTCGTCTTCCAGTTGAGTACATCTTTGCTTTGCAAAAGCCAGATCTGCTTTAACAGTTTTTAGCTCCCGAAGAAGAAGTTTTGCTTTGGCAGCTGTCGCCATTGCAACCTGTAAACCAAAACAAAGTCCAGCGTGCATTTCATTCATATTAAACTTGGATAAAAAAAAATCTGTTTCTTCCGCTAATGATTCAAAAGCAATGAGAATAAGACTAATACCCATATTTGAACATCCAAATCTAATTTTGTGAAATAGATACTATCAATGACCTAAAGCTTGACTTATGAATGAGCTCAAACCATACATTATCTTAACAAACTGGAGTCACCAGAACAATAACACAAACCAGAATTGTCCCTTCTTTCCTCTTATCATATCCTAAACTGTAAACTTCAGTATTGCCAAACGACCAGATGCATGCATTAAAGACTTCATAGTTGGTGAATAGCTGAGTGAAAGGAAAACCAGGGCATTCCTCTCCTGATGGGCGGCTTAAAGTGACTTCAAAAATTTAACATTATTTGGCATTTTCCAAATTAAAACAATCAATACTCATACAAGATGAACCATTAACACACAATTACATAATTGCCACCTTACGTCGCGAGATGCCTTGAGTTGTGTTTCATGGTAAGTTTGATTCTGTGATTGTGTTGTTGGCATTACAGGTTGCCACGTGCTATTTGCACCAGAAATTTGATTTTGATCCTCAGGAGTGCTTCCTTTTCGCCTAGTATGAAGCTTACGGGTTTCTTGGATAATATCTGCAGTTTTATTTTCCACAATTGTCCGACCTTCCTGGGGAGATCACAAAAAGTGAGAACAATTTAATTGAAGACTTAAGGGAAGCTGACTACTCAGAAAATCACAAATCTTTGTTCACACCCCATTTGGTCAGGCATAAAGAAAAGATAAAACTTAAGAATTCTGGAAGAAGTAATCACAATGCAAGCAAGAACTCAGGACCAAGAGCACAATCCTTTTGGAAAATGTAATCTAAGGCATTTTACCTCAAAAGCCTTTTCAAAGGTGTCACCAATTTGATTAAGGGAAGATGTAATTCTATCCAAGCCCCTCCGCAGTCTAGGATTGTCCAAATTTTTAGTGCCCTCTGATGATTGGAATGGTTGCTCAGACTGCAGTTAAAGGAAAAAGTAATTGAGAAAGAACCTAAACAAGAAAGAAAGGAAAAGAATAATAAAAATGCAAAATTTTAAGTTCATTACCACCTGGCCACCTGCTGAGGTTTCGGACATCTGCCACCTAGACCTTGCAGGTGGTTCAGCTTGTGGCGATAACTCTTCATCCTCAAGAATTGCTTTGGCTTTCCGAGCTAGAACACCCCAAAACCCTTTGGAGTCATTTCTTGCTGATACACCCTCGTAGGCAGTAAAACTCTACCACACAGCATTAACAAAAGAGACAACCAATACAAATTCACAATAAGAATGCAAACTCATTTGAAAAGAAAAAGATTCAAGAAGAAAAAATCTTGATGAAGTTGTGACATTCATAGCACATCAGAAGAATTATACCCAATTATTTATAAATTTCCATCACTATAAATTCTCTCTCAACAGAGCAACTACTAAAAGCAAATATCTCAGAATCCGGATTATGAAAAGACTTCATCATCACTTAGTTGTGCAAATGAAAAACTTATAGCAAGAATTTTCCATCAACCAAACAATATAATCAACATAAGCCATGGATGATCATTTAGCACTTGTTAATGAAAATCAATAGATTGAAAATTGTTTGATTTGATAACCAAAAGCACCATGGGTGATATCTTAACATGCATATCAGAAACAAAAATGAAAATTCGAAAGTATGCAACTGAATTTGACATTACACAATAATACAATACGTTAAAATAAAAAGCAGAAACCGATCCATAGGTAAATAGAGAAAAAATGAAAAGAAGGGAACCTTGGATCGTTGAGTCTCAGATGGCAAAGGAGGGTCTGCAGCATATGCAGAAGAAAGAGATGAATCACGATGAGCGGCTGATGCACGGATCGCCTGAGCCGCTAAGGATTGTGTTGATGGTGAAAACGAATGAGAAGTTTTAAAGGTTGGAACTGAAGCCTTATTATTTTCATTACTATTATTGATGTTTTTGCTGTTGTTATCTGGTGGATGATAAATCTCTTCTTTGAATGTTGATGTTTTTGTTATTCCCTGTCTTCTCCTGTACGCCATTTCTGAAATTCCGTTTCTTTCTCTTTTCTTTTCTTGCAGAACAAAACTTAATATAATAAAGTTGAGATGCTGACACCACCACCGCCACCTAAGCCACCACCACCACCACCACCACCACAACCAGCAACACAACAACCCAGATGACGAAACTAGAAAAGGAAGATCTCCAACAGCGAATTCTACGTCCAACGAACTCCCAACTCTCCCTTTTTTTAAGGAAACATTATAAAACTAACTACCCTTGTTTTGTTTCAATTCAACCCATCTTCACCCTTCGATTTCTACCACAATCTAACCTTTCACTCTACTTATATCCTGCATACGGTTTTCACATTTTCCACATCATCATTTCATTTCCCCTTTTACCACGTCACCTTTTTCATCCTTTTTCCATATATATATAGAGGATTCCATCACAATCCCGCAAGATTACACGTTACTAATAGTATAAAGTTAGTATTTAATAGAATTATTTATATAAGTAAACTTTACTAATGAACTCGTAAAAAGATATACCATAACTGTACTGAAGACAAGAGTTACATTATATGTACTCAAAGCGTATTTGATGATGATTGGTTTTGTTTTTGAGGGGCTAGATGACAACTCACAGATGCTGATTCTGCCCATCAACTACAGTTTGTTTCTTCCGTGTGATTAGCTGTTGTTCGGACTTCGGATGGTCCAGTTTCCTTATTAATTTATTTGTTTAGACGTGAAGCGTTACTCATCTTAATCCTATTGAATTGAATATTGAATCAGTCTTCACATATTTGTATATAGCTTTATAGAAAGTAAAACTCATGGTTATGGGGAATGGACCTGTCACCTTTCTCTTTTATCCACTCTTGATTAAAATAGGGAATGGACCTGTCACCTTTCTCTTTTATCCACTCTTGATTAAAATAAGATCGGGAGATTAAGCCCCAGTAGTGAAAATGTCAAAAGAGATCTTTTTTTTAACATCAATATGCTACTTTTTCTTTAAAGATTTGGAATTTATATAAATATCTTACAGCTGAAGAACCAGATCAGTATGCTTAGGATCCAACGAGGATTGGTGATGATTATCAACTCTTTGATAACTCATTTTTTCCAGAATGGACCCCCCAGTACCTGAGCATTGCTGCAACAATCTATCTTGCCTTGAGGAGGTATTTATCTGATCCAATCTTGTTTTCAAATATGGTAGATCAAAAGTAAACTGGGAAACAAGAGGCAACGGTTGGCTTGATTCTATGGCTTGGCTAGTCCCTGATGAACCCAGTTCGTTGTGGCTTTGACCTCGTGAAGCAATGGCTCCAACATCACCTCTCAAACATTGTGAACCTAGATTGCTTAGGGATGCCTTTGTTTGACAAGAAGTTGACATACTCGTGGTTTGTAGAGGCCCCGACAGTGATGATGAACTAGCATTATTTAGCAAGTTGAATTTAAACATGTCTGACGGAGAATACTCCATGTTTGAATCCAATGACCATGCTTGATTATCCAACTTGTTCTTGTCTGATATCATTGTTGATTTTTCGCCTGCGTCTTTTAACCCTCTAACTGAGAAATTCAACTCTCTAGCAGCCATGGAGGAATTTAAGTTCAAGTTAATCCCATTATTTTCACCCTTATGAGCTTTGTCACTCCCTAAAACACCTATGGCATTTATTGCACTGCTGGTGCAAATGATCCTTCCGAAGGCACTTGGAATTTTCCTCCCGTCATTGTTGGGTTTGACCTCTAAGGAAGGGGAATCTGTACCCAATCTGTCGCCAGTATAAGCTTTCCCTCGTTTATCAATATCACACAGGTCAGTCCTGTGACTGCTGTTTCCAGGAAAAGTTCGATATCCTTGATGGTGGTCAGATAGATTTTGAGAAATCGAAGAACTGAAGGTAGTGTCCAAAGCAGTAGGTCTCTGTTGGGCCGAGGCAAATGCAGCAGGAGTTTGACATTTTGGAGTCTGGAACCAACAGTTTGAATTTGATATCTGAAAACTGGCAGTGGATAATCCATGTAACTTTCTTTCGGCAATCATTTGGGCTGTTGGTCCTAAATCTCTAACAAACAGCATTAAGCTTTCTCTATAACCAATATCCTGCTGACTCACCTACATAAAAGGAGAAATCAGCTCTATATCCAAAAAGCAAAAATTTTGAAAAACCAAAGAAGTTAATGCCTAACATACAAGTCAATAATCAGACAGTCATCAAATAAGGTACAAGGTGAAATCCATGAATTAGAAGGAACAAGGAATATGCTGTTGCACTAGAAATAATGGGATCAATTAACTTTTCTCAACTGGCAGGTCCACTCAATGAAATAGTCCAAAATTTTTGTTGGCACTTAAGATTTTAAGGTACTGAAAAAATAACAATGGCTGATCTCATAAGTCTTAAAATCGTCAAATAGTTGTCAGCATACCTCATACAAATAGAAGGTTTTGTTGCATCATGTGTATAACAGATTAAAGATAGATGAATTATGTGATACCCCACTAAAGAAAAAGGAGAGAAATTGCAATAGATTTAAACACCATGTATTTTTAATGATTGAGCAACTCCACTCAAAGTAGGGTCCATCCGACAAGTAAGAAAGCTCCCAATGGAATTAAAGTATAAAACTTAAAAGCGATATTCATTGTCTTCATCAAATAAGAAAGGTAACAATCAGTTTCATTAACCAATGCAGTTATTTAGGATCAAAACATTTAGCACAAGTCTGAAATAGGTGCACTTTCGTGGTCTGCCACATACTTTGCTCGCACTAGAAGGTATGGCCTATTTATCACATAATTGTTGGGTTGTATGACGCAAATATGTCATCAGCCTTATGTGAAAAACAATAACAAAAGAAAAAAAACACTCACATGCTTTAGAGCCTTTGAATTATCATGTATTGTTGACACAACTGAATCATACTCATTCAGGAAGGGTGCACAGGTATTATATGTAGAACGCCGATCTGCATCAGAAAAACTAGTTCTTCGACCATCTTTAGCACCTGTTAGAGAAGAATTAACTTAGAAGAGTAAAAAAGAATTTAAACTTCTCAACAATAACAGTTATAACATTATGGGAGTTTAATAAAACAATTTCAAGGCAGCTTAGAAAACTTTACAATTGAAGCTTCATTCAATGTCACACAACGTTATGCAAATCAATGTTGGAAAACTTGGCACTGCATAGGCAGAATTGGATTCTAGAATCTGATTGAGTTTTCAAAATCAGAAAGCCATGTGCTTTAGAAACTATACGAGATAAATTCACCAAAAGGAAAAAGAAAAGAAAGAAATAGGCACTGGAGCATTTAAGATTGGCTTGGCAGAATAAAACAATTAAAATTAGAATATTTTTTTCCAGAAGTCACTTTTTACCAGGAAGCATTTCAGGATCTCTTTCACTAAAAGGAGTTGCAGCACTAGAGCACCATGTGTTTCCTCGACTACTTCTCTTGAGATTTGATGAACCACTCAATGAATTAGAAACAACTTTTGATGAATCATTAACAGCTGTGCTATTGGTTCTCAAATTTGTAGTATGCTTGTGACTTGAGCTATAAATTGGACTCCTAGCTTCACTTTGTAGCCTTCTAACAGTTCTTCGTCTCGTTTCTGAGAACTCCGATTCAAAATTCTTTGGGTCGGTTTTAAGAGCATGAAAAACTTTTTTACTCAGTTCATGTATTGCACGAGCCTGAAAAATTAAAGAGTTGATAGCTAAGATCTGGATTGTCATTTTAAATAATTCTAAAATATTTCTTCCAGACTTTGACAGAAAATTGATCATCATATTCATACCTGTCTGAAATAAATGGTGGTTGAGGAATTAAAATGCATAGCATTCCCAGATATCAGAAATACATCATGCTGCATGGTAATCCACAAAATAATCAGTCAAACTAAGACACCAGATGTCTCCTGTAATTTGAATAGGTATAGATTTGCATTCTATAAAAGCCAAAGATATTGATGTCTTCACAGTAAAAGATTTGCATTTGAACTACCTCGGATATTTAAAAGCCACAACTGAGATACATCAAATAGGCGAGTTACGTAATCGCATTAAAAGAACAGAAGGATAACATTAGACTATGATGAAAACCCATCGACCTTCAGAATTGGAATCAGAGAATTAGTTCTTAAGAAAAGAGCAAACCTCAAATTGTTCAAGACTTGTATACAATCCTTCATGAAGTTTAGCCCTCATGGTGCCAAAATCCATAGGTTCTTTGATGATTTCATAATAATCCTCCACCTAATCACAACCAACAACTCCATCTTAGTAGGCATGAAGGAGGGAATAGGGTATTCATGACTTGACAAGATGAAAACTAACAACAAATTGCAAACCTCTTCAGGGTCAACTGGTTCAGCAAATATTTCATGGGTGTCTCTCCTGATATGACAAAGAACATGTAAAGTAAATTTAATAAACAAAACTTTCTCGTTAGGAATTCACTATGTAAATATTTATCTAATAACCTTCAAACAAATCAACATCAGGATTCATCTTCCAAGAAATGTCAATAACAGTTTCATTTAAAAGAATTTCCACCTTTGTAGTATGTCAAGGATAAGCTCAAGTATGCGTTTTTCTGGCATCCATGGGGCAGATGGGCCACCTGATGGTTCATCTGATGTCAAGAAAGAAGTTATATATATATATATATATATATATCATACTTTCAAAATGGCAGATCTACATTTCAAAATGTTAAACAGAGTGAATGAGAGTAACCAGGGTAAGCAGCTTGATTGCCTCTATCACACAGCAGAAGTGGTTTATCTGATACAAGAAGCCATACAAGCTCTCAAGTCACTGGATGAAGTGTAGAAGTAGATAGTTTACAATTACATTTGCAATGATGCACGAAGTCTCACCATTATTATTCGGATGGTCTTTGTGGTCTTGCTTTTTATCCTCGTCCATGCCATTTGATTCGGGATCTTGAGACTATAATTTACACAACATATTGAAGTCTTTGCATTATTTACAATGGTAAAATAACCCCTTAAGTAAAGACCAGAAATAAGAACAAGTTCCTAATGACGATATTTATGAACGACCAACTATAATCTGCCAGGAAAAGAATTCGATAACGCTAGTTGTATTAGCTGAATTAGAGTCAGTGCCAAGTGAATCACTTGAGGCACTTCGACTTTAATTAAGTACAATGACAATTGTTCCAATAAAAAAAAATCACAACTACTAAAATCTGGAGAAAAATTAACAGTCTTATTCAACCAGAATATGGGTTTTCCATGTAAAGGTGCCTCCAGAATTCTGAAGTAAAACAGTAGTGTTGAAATAAATCAAGAAAAAAGAAACAAACTTTTAGCTGCGGAAGGGGTGGACTGTCTATGTGGAAAAGCTAAAACCAAATGTAAAGGAGATGGTAAAGTTCACATAGTACCAAAACAAAAGCTTCAGTCCCATTGCTGAATCAATCACATTGTGGAAGGAAAAAAATAATTACAAAGTCAGTGAAAGAGTGAATCATGGCACAGCAAACTAGAGTGAACTTGTCTGTTGGCCGACAGTACTTTTGTCTGCATTTGGTTAATTGACTGAAATCTCCCAGTACTAAAATCTCAAAAAATGCTGAGAAATGAAATCGATAAACCCCCTTTACCAACTTGTAAAATGGTCACCTATTAAAACCCCCAAAAGCAAAAGTACAACACAACCAACATGAGCAAGAGACACAGCAATGAACTGAGAAATGAAAATTTACAGAAATAGTAGCAGTTACAGTGTTATAAATGTAAAAGAAAAGGAAGCAGACCAGTTGAGCAATGGGTGAAACACAAGTAGCAGCCACATCTTCAAGGGGTCTGAGTTTTCTCTTTTTCCTGGCTCTTGTTCGAGAGGCTGGTCCATTTAAGCGAGCATTTGTACAAGGACCAACTCTAACTCCAACTCCAACTTTCACGCGCTTCATTTGCTCAACCTTGCACGCATTCAAACCAGATATTCGAGGACTAGTTCTCCTATCCCCTTCTTTCCACATCGACATTTGTACTTTTCTTCTGCACACAGCCCACCATTCATACAATCACAATCACATTATTAAAAAGGAAAAAAACCAAAAAAAATATCACATCTTTCACAAATTTCAAACATTTTTCACATGCATTTTCAAGAACCCACCTGGAAGACATTGTTGAAAACTGAAGAAGATAAGAAATCAGATATATGGGAAGTCATCAGGTGGTTGTTTAGCCTTATAAAAAGGTAGAATTTTGCGGAATGTAACCGGCAAAGGAGTGGAATTTAGAATGCACTTTAAGAGATACAGCTTGCAATTGATTTGCTTTCTTCTTTACAAGAGATATGAGATTTTGCAGACAAGGAAAATAAATTAACCCCCTCACAAATCACAATTGTTCTTCTTATTTGCTTCCTGTTTTACAAGTACTGCAATCTCTATCATCAATTGGGAAAAGAAAACTATTAAAAAAGAAAATATTTTGAAAGCACAACACAGTATAGTGTAAAAAGTAAACTGAAGAGTATAACATTAAACATGAGAGAGAATGTGGTGGTTGTACTTTAACCTCTCCTTGGAATCACAGTCAGACAGATGTAAATGTTTTGGATAATAAACGCGCTTCAAGGAGCGTGGTTTACATTCTCTTGCAATGGGCTGAAATTCTGCCTCTGGGCTGAAACTTGGGCCGTTAATTCTGAGACCAGTCCAATGTGAGTGGTGATAACAACTAAGAAACACAGCAGGAGCCAGGAGAAGAAAAGGTTGAAACTTGGTGTTGGTGAGACGGTAAAAAATGGAGCTTTCAGCTTTGTCGAAAGCCATTGGAAAAAGAGGTAAAAGGGCTTGATGGTTGGGCTGGTGGGTCGAGAATCTTGACACTTAATTCTTTGGTTAGTGACTCTCCATTTTCATTTCGTAAACAAATTGACTAAGTCTTTAGTCTTGAGTCTTCAGTCCCAAATGTCCTCTCTTCACAACTGTTTCGTTTCTCGTTTGTAGCTTACATGTCATTTGAAGTTCTTGATAACATTGGATTTACATGTGCTATTTCTTGATGTAATTCTGAAGATCGGACCAATTCTTCCCAATTTATTTTTCTGGTAATTATTCTGACCTCGTAAGTTATACTATATGATACTATTGTTTGTACTTTTTGATGAGGTTCCATTATCAGTTTACATGGTCTTCTTTGTGTTTTTCCTTTCTTATCTATTGCATATAAGGAAATATGGGAATTTTATTTGATGCTTGGGAACAATGGGGCTAAAGTTTTGGACTTTTTTTTTGTCAAATTGCTTCTTTGATTGTGAAGGCAAGAATTGGAATTCTGGGTTTTGTCTCTGTGTCATATTAGACAATCGAAGTAGTGAATTTTTCCTAAGATTTATGAGATGGGTTTTTAGAAGATGGAATTTAATTTGATTGGTTCTGAAAAATCTAGTAGGACTTATGTGGCATTCTGTTCATGTAGCTCGGGTGTCAGTTCACTAAGGGCTCCTATTGAATGAGAGCCATTAAACTAAAGGTTAACTTGCATAGAGTGCAATTGCAAGGACTATTTTTCATTTTTTTATCTGTCCTATAGGGATTTTGTGGAGCTGTTACAGATTTTAAGCCATGCACTTCCTTATGAGGTTCCATCTAAACATACGTTTGAGCACAAACGAACCCCCTGGTTTTGAAGGTTTATCTGATCACAACGTGGTTGTCATATTCTTATTTGGGCATAGCATATCTTTGTGAGCAAGTTTTAGCATTAGGATTGTTGATTGGAATACTGGAAAGAAGTTTGTGGTTTTGAAAGTTTATCACTGTAAGTATAGTGGCATTACTATGTGAGGAAATACTTGAATAACCTTCTTATATGCTCATGGAGTAGTAATCTGGCACTGAAGCGGCATCTCTATGACGTCATTTCCCAGGAAATGCCTGTGGTACAAAATCCTGAGTCTGAGACTTTATACCCTGGAAAAGGGTTCTTTTCAAACAACATTAATAGTGCTTGGATGAAGGTTCAAGCTCAACCTCACCAAAATCTCATATTCCCCATAAGGTTTTTCCTGTGGTGACCCTTTTTGATATAACTTTAGTTGTAGCTTCATCCTAATTGATGAGATTTATTTTAGGCATCACCTTGTAGATTTGGAGGCATTTTGTCATTCTGTACTGGAAAGAAATGTTTCAGGTTAAAGGCTAACACTCTATGGTAAAGCTTAATTCTAAGTTAGCTAAAATCATTAGGTTTTGAAATTTTCTCAATGATTCATCTAAATTTTCTCAATGATTCATACATAGAGTTTGTATTACCCTGATTTATTTGACTAAAGCTCTACTTACATCAAAGTGTACATAGAGGATCTCTTCTTGAACAAGCCTGGCAAATGCTTTTATGACTAAATGTTAAAAAGGGTTTGAGGTTGATGTTTGACATGAGCATAGCGTAACCAGAGATCCACTTGTTTCTCATGTAATTATTCTTATGCCTGTTAAAGCTCTGTCATACTTAACATTGATAAAAAAAAATACTTGGTACTTTTTTGTTTGCCAAAACCTACCACATTATTTTTCTAGGATTTCAAACTCATTTTCCTTAGTTGATTATTCTTTATATAAAGCTTAAATTCCATAATCAATTTTAATCACACCATTGAAAATTGCTTTCATTTTTCTTTAAATAGATATTTACATGTTTGTGATTGGCGATAGTTTGCATGTTTTAGTGGGGCATGAGACTAGTTGAATCAAAAGCAAACAACACATTTTACATCTATGTACCAGTATGCAGCACTCAATCGTTTTGGCCTTTTATAGATTTTTTTTTTTTTTTTTCCTTGTTTTCACAAGTCACTAATGTTGGCTTATATTTGAAGAAAAGAATAGTTGGTAACTAGTTTACTTGCTTGGTTATCAACATGGTCCTTTGTGTCTGCTTGTGTTCATGGTGTCATTTCCTGCTTCTTTGCTGATTTACCACCTTTTGGTTAGATGGACTCAGATTCTCAAAGAATATTCCAGCAAGAGCCACTGTCCACTGCCCATGGTCGTNTTTTTTTTTGTCAAATTGCTTCTTTGATTGTGAAGGCAAGAATTGGAATTCTGGTTTTTGTCTCTGTGTCATATTCGACAATCGAAGTAGTGAATTTTTCCTAAGATTTATGAGATGGGTTTTTAGAAGATGGAATTTAATTTGATTGGTTCTGAAAAATCTAGTAGGACTTATGTGGCATTCTGTTCATGTAGCTCGGGTGTCTTGTGCAGTTTACTAAGAGCTCCTATTGAATGAGAGCCATTAAACTAAAGGTTAACTTGCATAGAGTGCAATTGCAAGGACTATTTTTCATTTTTTTATCTGTCCTATAGGGATTTTGTGGAGCTGTTACAGATTTTAAGCTATGCACTTCCTTATGAGGTTCCATCTAAACATACGTTTGAGCACAAACGAACCCCCTGGTTTTGAAGGTTTATCTGATCACAATGTGGTTGTCATATTCTTATTTGGGCATAGCATATCTTTGTGAGCAAGTTTTAGCATTAGGATTGTTGATTGGAATACTGGAAAGAAGTTTGTGGTTTTGAAAGTTTATCACTGTAAGTATAGTGGCATTACTATGTGAGGAAATACTTGAATAACCTTCTTATATGCTCGTGGAGTAGTAAATCTGGCACTGAAGCGGCATCTCTATGACGTCATTTCCCAGGAAATGCCTGTGGTACAAAATCCTGAGTCTGAGACTTTATACCCTGGAAAAGGGTTCTTTTCAAACAACATTAATAGTGCTTGGATGAAGGTTCAAGCTCAACCTCACCAAAATCTCATATTCCCCATAAGGTTTTTCCTGTGGTGACCCTTTTTGATATAACTTTAGTTGTAGCTTCATCCTAATTGATGAGATTTATTTTAGGCATCACCTTGTAGATTTGGAGGCATTTTGTCATTCTGTACTGGAAAGAAATGTTTCAGGTTAAAGGCTAACACTCTATGGTAAAGCTTAATTCTAAGTTAGCTAAAATCATTAGGTTTTGAAATTTTCTCAATGATTCATCTAAATTTTCTCAATGATTCATACATAGAGTTTGTATTACCCTGATTTATTTGACTAAAGCTCTACTTACATCAAAGTGTACATAGAGGATCTCTTCTTGAACAAGCCTGGCAAATGCTTTTATGACTAAATGTTAAAAAGGGTTTGAGGTTGATGTTTGACATGAGCATAGCGTAACCAGAGATCCACTTGTTTCTCATGTAATTATTCTTATGCCTGTTAAAGCTCTGTCATACTTAACATTGATAAAAAAAAATACTTGGTACTTTTTTGTTTGCCAAAACCTACCACATTATTTTTCTAGGATTTCAAACTCATTTTCCTTAGTTGATTATTCTTTATATAAAGCTTAAATTCCATAATCAATTTTAATCACACCATTGAAAATTGCTTTCATTTTTCTTTAAATAGATATTTACATGTTTGTGATTGGCGATAGTTTGCATGTTTTAGTGGGGCATGAGACTAGTTGAATCAAAAGCAAACAACACATTTTACATCTATGTACCAGTATGCAGCACTCAATCGTTTTGGCCTTTTATAGATTTTTTTTTTCTTGTTTTCACAAGTCACTAATGTTGGCTTATATTTGAAGAAAAGAATAGTTGGTAACTAGTTTACTTGCTTGGTTATCAACATGGTCCTTTGTGTCTGCTTGTGTTCATGGTGTCATTTCCTGCTTCTTTGCTGATTTACCACCTTTTGGTTAGATGGACTCGGATTCTCAAAGAATATTCCAGCAAGAGCCACTGTCCACTGCCCATGGTCGTGCGGATGGTGATTTAGTAGGTGACCATTCTATCCTGCCCGCCACATGTACAATGTGCAGAAGGATCCTTGCACCTAACAACGAGTCAATTGACGATCTTGAGACTTTTAGCTTGTGTGGGGACTGTAAATTCTTACTTCTTGAAGATGCTGGGACAGTTACGCAAGACTCTCATCAGAGGCTACAACCTAGAGGAAGAAGGACGACGTATAGCAGTACTGAGTCTATTGAAAATCTTTTCTCACAGCAGTTCTCACAGATGATTAATTTGGCGAGACAAAACCAATCGCCTATCTCTGGGCATGAGGATCAATTTTTAGATGGTGATACCGCTACAAGGTCATTTCATCGTTCAAGTGCGCGTACAACTCCGAGTGATTCTAGAAGATGGCGTCGGGTTCTATCTGATGCTGAAAGTGATGGTTTTGATAATTTGGATTCTTTTTATGGGGAGAGTGAATCAAATGTAAGTTTTGGTCGCTATAGAGGTTTCCATGCTGAGAGTGATGGCATTTCTTTTAGTGCTTATGGAGGTGATTCTGATGCATCTGTGGATGGACATAGTTTCCTGGATACAGAAATTTTTATTCCACCAGAAGATGGAAGCATTTTTGATAGTGACACTGACATTGATCCAATGCATGCCGGTATGAACCTGCAATGGAACTCAGATGATGCTGAAGAAGAGGAGGAAGAAGAGGATGATGAATGGGAAGAAGTGGATGTTGAGGAAGATACAGTTGAATCTACTGTAGCCAGACCTCAACTTAGAAACATTTTCAATTCAAGTCCCAGTGAAAGCAATGGCTCTGTTAATAGGCATAGGCAATTTCAGTCTCCTGAATTTCAGGGTGTGTTTCATTGGAGGATTAGAGAAGGTAGACAAAGATTAACCCGTAATATCTTTGGTAACTTAGAGGAATCAGAGTTACATCCATATATTGGGAATTATGGGGATTATCTTGATGCAAGAGGCTTTGACGAACTGCTTGAGCATCTTGCTGAGACTGACAACTCCAGAAGAGGAGCACCTCCTGCAGCCGTGTCTTTTGTAAATAGTTTACCTTGTGTGACCATTAATGAAGAGCATGCGAAGCATGGCGATCTAGCCTGCGCAATCTGCAAGGACGTCTTACCCATTGGCACTAAAGCAAACCAACTTCCCTGCCTTCACCTATATCATCGGCCCTGTATACTGCCATGGTTGAATGCACGAAATTCATGTCCCCTTTGTCGTTATGAGCTTCCAACTGATGATAAAGATTACGAGGAGGGGAAGCGAAACATCAGTAGTAGAATGGAAATTCACGAAATGAGGCAGCAGGATGCAAATGAGGACAGTGCATCAGATGCTTCAGATGAAGTTGAAGCTGTTGAAGATCATGAATTGACTTCAGACTACATAGACTCTAATATGAGTAGCTCTGGCGATGACAGTGGTAGAGGAAGATGGTTTCTTCTTGCTGCTGCTCCGATTGTCAGTCTCGTCGGTATTGTTCTTGTGCTGTGGTTAGGCAATCCACTAACTGCCAGAAGAGGGACAGTGAATCAGCCTCAAATAAACATTCCTGGTTCTGGCCCCCCAAATCGAAGGGAGAACAGAAGCAGGAGATGGTGGTCACTCTTCTAACATGTTTATGGGACGTAGTAGATATAATAGGCGATGACTTGTTTGATTGCTTATTCATATTTGACATGTTGTGGTTTTGGTCCGAAAAGATTCACATGGTGGTGTATTTTCAACATATTAAGAGAGCTTGTGTGTGCAGTTCTATTTAATTGTGTTAGTTTTTGGTTTAATTATTTGGATCTGCTTGATGAGATGCCTAATACTAGGAATAATAAAAATTGACTCATAATTTAATCTTACAAACTTTCTCTCACAATCCCGATGTGACAGTTCGTAATTTGTTAGTTTGTAATTGAACAGGTAGGACCTATGGCGAGCAGTCGAAATCTATTTGTGAGTTGATCAATTGTGAACTGTCACGTTGGAATTGTGAGAGAAAGTTTATGAGATTGGATTGTAAGTATAGTATTACCTTATTAGGAATATCAACCTTTATGGGATATTGGGATATCTTTTTCTGTAAAATTTGCTTCTCTGTTATTCTGATTGATTCTTCTTTTAAGTGACATTAAGATATGAATATTGTATTGGATTAGAAAGGAGACCTGCATCATTCCTTGAAAAAGCAATCAAAATAAGAAATGGAGGATACTTAGTTCAAAACTTTGAGAGAAAGAACAAAGTTAGTTGATGAATTAAAAATGAAATGAACATTACTAAATCAAAGAAAGAAAAGGTCGATCGCCTTACAATATTGCTTAATAGATTACAAATGCACCTTAATGTACCGATATATGGGCGACATATTGTTGCCACCTCTTCCCAACCAACTAAAAATTTCTAGGCTATTAACAATGATGAACAGGGAATAAAGAAGAATCCCTAGGCCTAGTAGAGCATCAATTTGATGCCAGTTTTTAGAAGAGTATGTTGAGAAAGAGGACAATCCATGCAGCCATTGAGAAAACAGCAAAAATATGAACCCAGAATAAGACAGCAGCTGCCTCCCTTCCGCAACCCCTTAAATTGGCAACGGCACCTGTGGGCAACGAAAAGGTTATGAAGAAAACGATACAAGATAGAAAAACTACAAACAGAATTTGTGCAGCCTAATATCAACCATTAGTTTTGAGATTTATTAGGATTGTATCATTTAGCAGCTTTTCTGTGTTATGTCCTTTGCTTTAAGTTTGTAATATTTTAAACATGATAAATCTAGGAGTAGTTACTGGATGTTTACCAGCAAGGACTGATGTGGGCATTGAATGCTGAAGGAGTAGGACGAATCGGAACATCTTATCTCCAGCAGGGAGGAAGCCAAGCTTATCAGCCAACATGACAATGCCAAGTCCTGCAGGAGGCACCAAAACCAATCGTCCAAAAATAATAGCAGCAGTTGTCCTGAATCCAAGTTTTGAACTTCCTGGTCCTGCAAGCATAACAAAGAAAAGTTGCATCATTAATTTAAAGTTGGAACATTGATCAAACTAATCAGTAACTTAATGAAAGAAGATGTGCGCATCTGTACATTCACAGATACAAAAATAGACATTATAAGTTTTTACTTTCTTAAATTTATAAAGCTGATATTATTCAAATATAAGATTCTCAAGTCCAAATGTGCAATTCAATCTCCATATGTATAGACACAAAGAAATCACAGCAGTAAAGTAGAAAAGATAACTTTTTAAGGAAAATCACTTACCATCTACAAGGTTGCCTCCTAATGCCAACAAAATGCATGGAATCATGGCTTCCCTGATAATCAAAAGCAAAAGTAGAAAATTATAAAAAATGCATATGAAAGTGAATATATGAAACAAAATTGAAACAATAACATAATTCTTTCAAGTTCCATTGGCAATAAGGTAGTACTCTTTTTAACCTATCAAATCGTAACTGTCATCAAAACATTTGAAACTGCTATTTAAAAGCATCTGGAGCAGATTCTCAGCACATACCAACACACCAGTAGATAGAGAAAATAAACAGCAAAATATGTGTAGAAGAGAGGTATCAGAAACAAAAAAGCATTTTTAAAGTGTAAGAAGCAAATAAGCATACCCAAGAATAATACAGCTGTCTGTAAAGAAGAAAAGTGGAGCATCACTTGTAAATATCAACTTCTTAAGAAATGGTGTCGTACCAATTACCATGGCTAGGATCTGCAGCAAAAAAAAGCAAAGCAATTAGAAAAAAAGAGATCAGATGTTCACTTTGTTCAACAAAAACATCAGTTCTCAAGTAAATCTTACTAATATGGTCAGATTAGAAATATTAACAGATCATTCTGTGAACAAGCATTCTCATCCAAGAACCTTCAAATTGCCAGGAGTTTACTGAAGTGTGTTTTTTATTAACACCAGATCAGGTGACTCAGCTCATGACTAGGATAGTTGAGCTCTTCTACAAACATTGAAAAGCAAATTCATTGAAAAACTACCCGAACCCAGGCTACTACCGTTTTACTAAACTACAATAGCTTATAGATTAAGCCAGTTCAATATCAAGAAGTCTAGGCACTATCTCATAAAGTTGACATCTTTATACCTGTGGGCTATAGATGCATATTTGATGATTGGAAATAACAACAGGAGACTTTACCAACCATTACCAGAAATTTTTTCTCTTGTGAATATTTTTATCTTCTATTTGAACAAATGATCCAAGCTACAGTTGACAAAGGAACAAAACTGTATAATATGTTTTATTTGCACCGTATTATTTATATAAAAAATAATTCTGTTGTAGATTAAAGGTTTCAAGGCATTAAGAGGAGCTACTATTAAGACAAAGTACGGTAATATGCCACTAAACAAAGATGCGTGAGTTCCAAAGATTACTAAACAGATGAAGTAGAACTTACAGAAGCAATGATTGGGGGTTGAAGGACTTGCTTCAGCTTCAACTTCTCGTATATCCAAGAAAAAAACTCTGCAATCTGCATAAACAAAANAAGTAAATCTTACTAATATGGTCAGATTAGAAATATTAACAGATCATTCTGTGAACAAGCATTCTCATCCAAGAACCTTCAAATTGCCAGGAGTTTACTGAAGTGTGTTTTTTATTAACACCAGATCAGGTGACTCAGCTCATGACTAGGATAGTTGAGCTCTTCTACGGACATTGAAAAGCAAATTCATTGAAAAACTACCCGAACCCAGGCTACTACCGTTTTACTAAACTACAATAGCTTATAGATTAAGCCAGTTCAATATCAAGAAGTCTAGGCACTATCTCATAAAGTTGACATCTTTATACCTGTGGGCTATAGATGCATATTTGATGATTGGAAATAACAACAGGAGACTTTACCAACCATTACCAGAAATTTTTTCTCTTGTGAATATTTTTATCTTCTATTTGAACAAATGATCCAAGCTACAGTTGACAACAGAACAAAACTGTATAATATGTTTTATTTGCACCGTATTATTTATAAAAAAAAATAATTCTGTTGTAGATTAAAGGTTTCAAGGCATTAAGAGGACCTACTATTAAGACCAAGTACGGTAACATGCCACTAAACAAAGATGCGTGAGTTCCAAAGATTACTAAACAGATGAAGTAGAACTTACAGAAGCAATGATTGGGGGTTGAAGGACTTGCTTCAGCTTCAACTTCTCGTATATCCAAGAAAAAAACTCTGCAATCTGCATAAACAGAAACAATAGTTGATCATGGAGGGGAAAAAAAAAAAAAAAAAAAAAACCAGTTGAGCATCAAAATTGACTGAAAATTTTCCAAATATTTAGTAAACAAAAGCTTCTTTCCGGAAAAAATTTAACACAAATGTCAATTGTTGGTTTTATATTGCAAAAGTAGTAACATCTCTCATGACAATGAGATCCAAAAACTGATCATACTGAGAGGACGAAATTATGATATCATTTCATTGACACCAATTGTTCATGACTAGCAAAATTGTAAAAAATAATTAAGCCAGAGAAAAGGAGAAAGCTGAATACATCAAGTTAAAATTATCACCTTTCCTCTCTTTGGAGTATCCAGATCTGATGGTACTAACTCCTGGTTCAGCAATGGAACCTGCTCAGGCTCATTTGTGGCATCCTTTGGAGTGTTCTTGATGGGAAGGTTAGCTGCTTCCTCGGGATAAAAGGTACCTTCAGGAGGAGGCGCCAACATCTGGAATACGTATGTGTACAGGATGATTGCACCAACCTAAAATGCATACATTGGAACTCAATTACATGATGTCGGTGAATATAACAAAGAAAGCCTAAGATACAAGGATGCATGGGGAAACAGACAAAACCATAAATACATCACTAACCAAGAAAAGTCCAACGAAAATTCAATTCTGTAACACCAAGAACAAGCATTGACTCATTGGACCATGCACCATTTGCAAGTCACAACAAAAAACAATGCATCCAAATCCCATATTTGTGAACAGATATGTACACACCGGTGTATAACAAGAAAAAATTGAGCAGATCTAGTAAATCCAACATAAGCAGTGATTACAAAGTTACATGTCCAAACATACCCACTGTCCAAAAGAAATATAAGCAGTCCCATCTGTTTGACATGTCTCTGTGTCACCAAAAGGGTTGGACTGGTCTCTACATAAAGCAGCAAGCAGAACAAGTGGCACGTTACCGATGTTTCCTGTCATTTATCAACATCAACAACCATATTATGAAAGAGATACAAAGGACCAAACCAAAGAAATCATACTGCAGCTGTTGTTTGAACCCAGCATGACAAATTATAATGGTTTAGTTAGTGTTTAGGACTGTATCTAACTAAAAAGATATTATAGTAACGGTAGTATTATATTATGTGCAATGGTTGACACCAAACATGTACCTATATGATATACTAAACATTTAGCATTATACCTATATGCTACAACAAAACGTGAGGACTGCACTGTCTAACATGATAACTAAATGAAGTTAAAGCTGCTCATTCCTAAGCATTTAGCAAGTTTTAGCTCTCTCAAAGCAAAAAACAATTAGGTCCAAATTGAGTTGGAGGCATCTGCTATAAGCCCATGATCAGTGGTTTTTTAATTTCAAACTAAGATCTAATATAACCACTTGCATGCTCCTAAACAATTTTCAAACAGCATATATATACTCTATGTTAGATTTCTTCACCTATAGACAGCATTATCACGAGTTAGGAGAAAGTTACAAGAGTAAAGAGAAAGAAACTTGCTGCATATAGTAAATAGTAATTTCAGCAAACAGATACTTCTCTTTGTTTATATCTATAGTAGATGATATCATCCCATCTTCCAGGATCTTTAAAGTGTAACCTCAGGTTAAAACCTAATAAAAGTGAGATTTTATTGTATGTTTTTTAGAATCACTTAAGCAGTGTCAAAATTAATATAAAAATAAGCTAAATCTTGAATATGAATTCAGCTCACCAATTCCAATCTGTACTATTGTAAACTTGAAGAAGGGATACGGCGGACGCACTATGTAAGCAATAGCTAATCCAATTAGCGATCCCGAAATGCTACCAAGGACGACATTCACAGGAATAAACCACCTGAAACAGAATACACGCAAATAAAAATCCAACCTTAACATATTCAGCTGAATGCTAAATCATACAATCATAACAAAGAAACTTACCACTCAAGCATTTTCTTAAGGGTAATAGCTTGTCCAAGTTGCGAAAAAATCAAGCAAGGAAGCAAAAGCGAAAAAACCAACTGCATTAACAAAAAACAGAACACAATTGCAACACACTAAAACAGAATAATTCAGATAGAATTGAAAAAAAAATAAATAAATAAATAAACTCACCCCATTCAAAAGCTTTCTCCCAGAAGCAGGCAAGATATTAACATACTTAGAAGCCATAAGAAATCCTAAAAAGCACATAGTAAAAACTTTAGCAATCGGCATAACAGCAATCTTTATAGTGGAAAGCAAAGATTCTCCCGCAAGTCCTCTTTCATTTTCCATCAACATTCTCGGTAACCACCGCTCCATCTTCCTCCTCCTCTTCCACCACCAATCCTCTGCCCTCTAATCAAACACAAAAAATTCAATCACATAAATAATAATAATAATAATAATAATAATAATATTAAAAACCACAAATCAAAGTCGGTCGAAAAGAAGCACAACCTTGACGGTTCAGATATGAATCTGGAACCAAACTCGAAACAAAAGATGTGGATTCATACACGTAACAGAATTTTCGAAACTTCAGTCAATATCTAATTCCGTAACAAAACCAGATGCTTCAAGAATTAGAACAGAAGAGAAGCACTGGACGCCTATTCAATTTATTTATAATTAGTATTTTATTTATTTAAATAAAATTAAGAATCTTGGGAAAGTTTGTTACTTGGTTACAATCAAATAAAATTAAATTTACATTTATTAACTCTCGAATTTACCCTTAACTGTCTGTTATTCCGTACTAACGGAAACTTCCTCGTCTGCCCAATCCCTCCACTTTTTGGTCTTTTTCATTTTTTATTAAACGACAAAATTTTGTGGACCCCTGGTTTCCTAGTGGTTTTAACTTTTAACTCGTTTATTTATTTACTTCTGATAGTTGGGAGGATCAGTTACCGCCAAAATTACACAGAGGGAAAGAAATTAATTACTGGATAAATGAATAATGAATAATATTACAATTATTGAAGGTTTCGTATCGAATCTAAGTATTGAATAACGTGATAAAATCTTGATCGTTGATGAATATTAATTGTTAATATTCATCAACGATCAAGATTTTATCACGTTGTTCGTATACAGGTGTGCAACCTTTCCGTTTTCATTTTTCATGAATAATAATTTATTGGATTGGTGGAGGACAGCTGGTCTATTGTTGAATAATGCCAGGCTGAGATTGGCCCTACCGGCTGTTCTATTATGAGGAAGAGTGGTTAAGGCAAAGCTCGATCTTGAAGTCAGAAGGGAAGGTAGAAGTTAGATGCAGGTGTTACCATCACAACTGGTTGTTCAAAAAAAATGTAAAAACGGGTTAATAAAAAAGAACAGTTTAGTTCCGGTTTAAAAAATTTTAAAAACCGAATTTCAAATTTAGTTACCAATTCGAGAAAAAAAAAAAAGGGTTAACCCAAAACTGGTTTTTTGAATCGGCTTTACAAATATATATATTATATTATATATTAATAAAAAATAATTTCATTTCTAACTTTTATTTGTATCAATTTTTATGTTTGTTAGTAGTGGTCAATGGATATGTATGTGTTTAATTTTTATTTGGATATGTATTGTTTATATTTACAATTTAATTTAGGAAAATATTTTAAAAATAAGTTTTATCAAAAAAAAAAAAAAGGAAAATCGGTTCAAAACTGATTACCAAAAACTGGTTTTTCCTCCCCGTTTCGGTTTTGGTCGGGAATTTTTCCAAACCGAAAAACCGTTTATTTAGAAAAGTCGGTTAACCGTTTTTTAACACCCTAATCACAACAGCATAACCATTTGGAATTTTTTTCTGTTTTGAATAATGTATTTATAAAAATAATGATGTAAATAACACCATTAATGATGGATGGACTTTTCTTTTAAATAATGTATATGAGGAACTTTGGTTAAAGTTTGGAGAGATTCTGGTTTTTTATTAGTACATTTGTTTGAGATACTGACATTTTGGTCCTTTTCATCAATGTGGTATCCGAACACAATCGCCAGTTGAACCCGCCTAATAATCTTTAGGGCCACGAAACACTCTACAAACCCAATGAATTAAAGTAATTACACAAAATGATAGATGTTCCTCATGTACCAAAGACAAACCTATGTGTATAACTAACATCCAAATTTTGTTTGTGTATTTTCTCTAGTATATTTTAAAGTCAACTAACAATTTGTTTCAGTCAAAGGACCGAAATGATAGTATTTTGTAATAAGCGTTCTTGACGGAAGTAGTAAAACTGAAGGGACTAAAAAAATTCTCTGTAAACACAAAAAAAAAAAAAAACAAAAAAACAAAAGACACAGTCGGAGAGGTCAGATCAGAGCCAGGCGGGCGGGGGTTTTAATCGATTGGTTTAGTAGTTTTTCATGAAGTGGAAGTTTTATTACGGCATGAGTGTTGAAAAGAGAAAATGGAGTTTAACCTTAACTGGGTTGGGTTGGGTTTGGATTTATTTGTCTCATTGTCCAAGCCAACAACAACAAAAATTGAATTCGATTGGGTTTAGGGTTGGGGTTGGGGTTCGGTGTGAAAGCTGCAGATGCCTACTGACAAATGAAATTGGCATAAGCCCCGATGCGACAGCCGAAGCTTCTTCATCCTCTCTCAACCGACGCTAAACAACACGGCCACGCTTGTTTGATTTTGCTGCTGTTCTTCACGTGAAATTGCGTCACTTTTTTTGACAACCTTCTTCTTCTCCAACCTTCACTTACAGGTCTCCCCCCAACAACAAAAAAATATCCATCCAATCACAATACGCCACCAGGCACCATGTGATGTCAAAGGGATATCCCCCCGTGTCCGTGACACTGACACAGACACGCTGATCCGATCCTTCCGCACTCACATGTCTTTAAATACATCATCCCTAGATCATCGCCACGTGCCTCATTCACCCGATAAAATATTTTATTATTTTAAGTAATATTTTCAGAAAAATTGGGTTATTATTATTATTATTATTATAAGGATAAGATTTGGATTTAAAAATGTATTTGATAAGATTATTTTTTAATCTTTATATTTATTAATTTAGTTAAACACATTCTATAATAAAGTTTTAAAATTGACAAAAATATTTCTATCCACTCATTAAATGTCGACTGTTGGGAATATGTGGGTCGGTAGGAGTATTTTTATGAATTTTAAAACTTTATTATAGAAGGTGTTTAACTAAAATCATCAAATATATCTCTCAATATAAAAACGTTACATAATTGCTTCATTGACAATGTCATCAAATATATCGCTCAATATATGTAATAAAATCATCATTTAATAATTGATTTCTCATTCGATTTTGTAGTTGATTTTTTTTCAAAACCTTCATCACAAAAAATACTCTTTCATAATCAAGAGATTTTTAAACAAATAACCAAAAAAGAGATCATCTTATCTTGTGACCTCCAAATGAGTAATTTTTTTTTATTAATCAAATCAAAGGAAAAAGAAAGTACGAGAGAAGGGGAAAGGAAATAAGGAAAAGAGAAAACGTGAAAAAAAAAAAATAGGCATTTTCAAATCCTGAGATCAATAAAATATAGAAATATTTTAGTGGAGTTAATAAAATATGGATTATTTTTGTAGGATATGTATAAATTTTAATGGATCAAAATTGTTAATTACTATATAATATATACCTATTTTTAATAATTTCATAATTTCAGTAGGGTCACTTGACCCCACCGAGTGTACTTTGGGTAAGCCCTGGATAACATGTGTCTATTTTTCTTATTAATGCTTTTGCTTTTTCCTTTTGCTTACACCAATATTCTTCTTTTATTATTATTATTTTGTGGAAAAAGTTGATAATAATTTTAATCACAATTATTTTCTTTATTAAATCATTGTGATACAACAAAGTGGGCTTATTCTTATTCCTAATCCTACCACCCAATTCATTAAAATATTTGAACAATCATGGACATTTATTTTAATTAAAGACAATTTAACTATTAATTAATTGTTATTTTAATTTTAATTATTAAAATCCAGTAGGTGGCATTGCACTATTGCTTGATACGTTTTTTATATAATCAATTTTGTACATTTATTATTAAAAATAAAGTCATCAATTATTGAAGCTACACATCGTAACATCAACATACCTAATGTCAACCACCATTAAACGGTCTAACGGTCAACTAAGACTCTTGAGCATATTACTCACGAGGTCCTGAGTTCGACCTACTTAAATTGCTAATAAATGTGGTTATTGAGGAGATTTAACCAACCGTCAACTTCAGGGCCTCGAAAAATTAGTTGAGGTGCTCATAAGCGGTAAAAAAAAATTACGTAATGTAATAAGTCATATCGATCAACGAATGGAGGGGAGCTGGAGAAAAATCTGAAAGTTATAGGGATAAAATTGGTATATTATTGTATAATTTATGAAAATTTCGTGGACCTAGGGTCAGGTCCAACAATGCATGTACTGGGCTAACATCAGCCCAAAAACCAACGACCATTAAAGCCCACTGAGATCCAACCTGGTTCATACTCTTACTAGATTAAATAAAAGGTAACGCAGTACTCTGAATATGGTGTAATTTTTAACTTGAAATGGGAGGAAATACTTGTAATTTATCTACACTTTCTTTACAAGGAGTCTCATTCCATGTTGTGGCATTAACAGCATTTTATACACTGGAGAGTGGCGATATTTCGGAGAGAGGGAGAAGGAGAAGTTTGATACAAGAATGGAGAGTATGATCTTCAGTTCTATCAATGCAAAGGTTTGTCCCACGCATAATCGACTTCCATAACCAAAGGGCACATAAGCTTGTGGATATTTGCAGGCTTCAGATATTCCTCCTGCAAATCTGTCAGGCTTAAACTCATTGGCGTCAGAACCCCAGTTCTCAGGATCACGGTGCAGCGCCGGGATCGAGTTCCATATGTGTATGCCTTTCGGCACTACTAAATTTCCCAACTTTATATCTGCAAATGCTTCTCTTGCCACTACCAGTGATGGCGCATACAGACGCAGGCTCTCTTGAATCACCATTGTCAGCTGTATGCATGTATGAAATATTCAGAAGCTGCATGGAGCGTGGGCGAATAATAATAACAGATAAATTTAGATTGATGAGATTAAATGAAATACCGTTTTCAACTGGCGAAGTTTATCCAAGTCTATTGAGGCCGAGGTTCGATGAAGATTTTTATCACCCCAGTTGTGAACAATCTCGGCTCGAACACGTTGTTGCCATTCAGGATAGAGTGCAAGAAGCATCAAGGTCCAGGAGGCGGCAAGAGCAGTAGTTTCATAGCCAGCAAAGTAGATGTTTTTGCAATTGTCTACTATAAAACGGTGGGTATCATGTGTGCTTTTCTGCAATTCAGTGTCAGTAGCAGCACTTTCAAGTATCATTTCTAAGAGGTCTTTTCCATATATACCAGTATCCTTTTGGCTTTCTTCTTGACGATCTTTGACCACCTTCAGTATCAACTCCTCTACCTCTCTCTTCAACCTCCATATTTCTCTGTTACTCTTTGTTGGAAGGAATCTGAATCACCATTTAAAAAATTAGCTATATAAATTAATGAATATGAGAATATGTCTAGTATATATAAAGCTGATGAGCATATATACTTTAAGTTTGGAAGTCCAAAGAGTAAACTTGGTTTGGACATGGCTTCTTGCATGACCCTTAGCTTGGCGAAAATATTTTTCCCTTGAGAGTAAGAGCTTCCAAAACAAGCTCTTGAGATGATATCTGCAGAAAGGCTTCTTAAATCTTGGTCAATCATGAGGTCTGCAACTCCTCCCTGGCTTTCAATCAGTCGAATCTCCCATGTTTTCACCATTGCCATGGTACATTCCTCCATAAGACCAATCATGCCCTAAAACGAAAATGTTTAATGAAATCTAATCCCAATTACCACTTTAAGTTTTGGGGATTGACATAGTTTTGATATACTGTATTAATTGATTACCTTGACTTTGTGGAGGAAGAACTCAGGAGCAATAAGTCTTCTCTGATGGGCCCATTGGTGTCCATTAGCCTTAATGATGCCATTGCCCAACATGGGCTCCAGTGCTTTGGATAGATATGAAGGCTTACCTAACACCAAGGACTTGTGTAGCTTCAGTTCTTTTATTAACTCCGGTTGGCTCAAATACAGATGCTGCTGGCTCCCCGTTGAGAACATGTACATTGGCCCTGTGGATCCAAAGGGTTTGAAATTGATATGAAAATCATATATATATATATATATATATCATTGAGTAAACTGAACCTGGTCATTACTGATCAGATAAACTTGAAGTAGCTAGCATAGCACCCACATGATGAAGAAGCATTTAATATATGTATATATAGCGCGGCAGACAGATAGCAGAATCATCTCTGTAATTGCCACATGCACAGTTAAGCTGTGGAGGTTGTACCAAACAAAGCCATACATTAAATTTATAGATAACGTAGACTTGCCCAAGTATCAGTCTGGAAGGCCACTCATTTACTTGCAAAGAATAGTATTCACAGTCACAGTCACAGACGCTGAAAATGATAATGATATATAAAAAATGTGTATGATTATAGTCTAAACTTCACAGACTTCTCTTGCAATCTCCTTGTGTGACAATTAAGTCAAAGGCTGTTATATCAAAATGATTTTAATTAGACCGACGAAATGACTTATTTTTCAATCAAGAATCACTATTTCTTACGAAAAAATAACCGTTCTTTATGAAAAAATAACCAAACGAATAACCGTTTATCAATAAAGAATGATCATTTTTAATAGCCATTCATAACAAGGAACAGAAAAATGATTGTTCTTCGTAAGAAATGGTTGTTCTTTCATAAGAAATAATTAGAATGACCGTTTGTATTTAATAGTATCTTTGGTGCTTTAGATGTAACGTTAGAATTGTAAGAGAAGATTGTGGGATTGGGTTGTAACTTAACATTTTTCTTATAATTAGTATTTGAAACTAACCCAGTTAATTTTTCTTGAATACTTCAGCAGGGTTTGATTAGGTGTGATAAGACAGAATGAGTAATGTGGTGTGTAAACGTCCTGTTTTGATTGTCCTTTTTGTATGTATCTAGTCTGCTAAGGTCATAAATCTAACGAAACATGTTCATGTACGTTACTGCAGATAATAAATATTGATGAACAGTTGAACACACCAATAATTGGGTTCATTTATCATAAGGATCGATCATGGATAGATTCATAATAAACAAGAAATGGGATTTGTGATGTTACCGTAGTCGAATGTCCATCTCTGGAGATAAGGAAAGGTAGAGCGAACCCAGTGATGGTGGGAGATTGCTTGAATAGTTTTCCCATCTTCATCTTCATCTTCTGACTTGGTAACCATTAAAACTGACTCTGACTCCATGTTTTGTATCTCCTTAACGTTCCCATACAAGAAGGCCGGCGTTGGACCTCCAATCCCTTGCTTTGATAGAGTTGAGCGAATCCTTTTGGGCTTCTTCCACACCGTTTCATACACTTGTATCAACCTGAATAACAACACCCCAGTCACTACCATCAGAGACCACCAACACACCATCATCATCATCATCATCATCTTCTTCTTCTTCTTCTCTCTTCTGAAACAAGCTCTTTCTAGTTTCTTGGGTGTGTCGAATGAACTTAGAGTAAAATCTAATAGTCGCTGCGTGTTTTGAGGGCAACCCTAAAATATTATATGGGGTAAAAGTTGAGATCTGAAGGTAGGGTTAAGGAGATATTATTTTTTACTGTATCTTCTTCACCAAAATGCTTGGGCGGTGAGATATAATAATTCAATAATATTATGCTTTCAAATAAATCTTATAAATATTATGCTTTCAAATAAATCTTATAAAGATTTTTATACAAAATGAGGTGACAAAAAATAAATAAAAGAGTAAAACAAAAGGTCAAACACATTAAATTCACTCTTCTATTCATTTTTTATCACATCACTTTGTATGGAGATTTTTATAAAATTTCTTTGTAAGTATAGTATTACTCATAATAATTTATTGAACCCTGTTGTACTCATTATATTTCATCGATAAATTATATTTCATCGATAAAGTTTATGATATTAGAATATATTAAAGCAGATATTTTATTATACTTTTTTATATTTTAATTGATTAGTTGTACTAGAACATAATAAACAAAATAATTTAAAGATATTAATCCACATGACTGATATGATATTTTTTTTTTTTTTTTGTTTTTTTTTCCATAAATTTCTTAATTCTCTCTGAATATGAGCTTCTACCTAAGTAAATAGAAGTATTTGCGATTGATTGATGCATAAATTATGGATGCGCGAACGTGCTTTTCGAGTAAGGTATATATAAGCCATCATCCCAGCTAGACAATTCCTAATTAGTTGCTATCAGGGTTCTGAAAGCCGATTGGACCGGCCATTTGATTGGAACTAGACATATAATCGATCAATAACATCCTGAAACCCTTTTTTTTTTTTTTTTGACAGATTGAATCGGGATGAACCGGTTGGATAGTGGCAACTCGCGGTTAAACCAACGGTTTGCTGACCACGTGAACGATTCAATTACAAAGTTAAAATCCCTAAATTTCAATTTCAATCTCTAACTCTTTCACCCTTCTTTTCACATCACTTCACACTTCCAAGTCGCTCCAGACGTTCACGATTGCGACTTCAGTCACTCCACCCGTCTGTCGCACTTCACTTCCGACGACCTTGCTTTTGTACAGTTTTCGGTTTTGATTCTTGTATTTGATTTTGAATTATTATGATTTTATTGATTTTGGATTTGGATGGATTTATTTTGGAAATTTATTGGAATTTTAAAATTTTAGATATATCTACCAAATTATTATAACTTTAAATAATATTTATGATGTCACCAGTCTGACCACCTAGTCCGACCAATGACCCGCAAACCAACCTCTTGACCGGGTCAAGTCCGGTCCAGGTTTTAGAATATTGATTGCTATTTGTGATAATTGTAGATTAATTAATTTAATATTTAAAAAAAAAAAAAAAAAAAACAAGAGTCTTACTAGATCGGTCATGTGAGACGAATAGCATCAAAATTAAAAATTTTAAAAATATGAATAAAATCAAAAAACACTTTTCATGCATGTTGATCCAAGCCCCTCAGAATCAAGATGGACCGTACGTGCATGGCGAAAGAACATCTTTGAACTGACACTCATCTAAATGTATTGTATAATGTATATATCATATATGATTTTTCTTATTAAACCCCTCTAGTATATATACGGCTAAATATCTCCTTTGAGATATTTGATTATTTATCATGCCAATGGATAAGAGTACTCGCATGAGAGACTCCTCACCTAATAAGGTCTTGTTAAATTGGAGGATTACCTCTTCTTATAAACCAGTAGGTTTAAGCGTATCTAGTTGGTGTGAAACTCAAACACTCCCCTCACGGTCAAAACCAGTAGGCTTAAGCATGCCTAGTTGGTGTGGGACTCCAACACTCCCCTTCACATCAAGCCCATATGTTGGGTCATGCCTGTTGATGGAAGTAGTTGTTGACTCTAACTCCTCACCCGTTGGTCAAGCACGACTTGAGCATGCCTAGTTGGTGTGGGACTCCAACACTCTCCCTCACAGTCAAGTCCATATGTTGGGTCATGCCTGTTGATAGAGGTAGTTACTGACTCTAACTCCTCACCCGCTGGTCAACTGGTCAAGCACTCAGCTCAACTGAACCTAATTCTGATACCATGATAGAATTTGAGGTGAATCTGACTCCTCACCTAATAATGCATTGTTAAATGGGAGGATTACCCCCTCTTATAAACTAGTAAGTTTGTTTGTGTCTAGTTAGTGTGAGACTCCAATACTTCTCATCACGGTCAAGACTAGTAGGCTTGAGGTGCCTAGTTGATGTGGGACTTCAACACTTTCCCTCACGGTCAAGCTCATATGTTGGATCATGCTTGTTGATGGAGGTAGTTGCTAGCTCTAACTCCTCACCCGCTGGTCAAGCACGGCTTGAGCGTGCCTAGTTGGTTTGGGACTCCAATACTCCCCCTCACGGTCAAGCCCATATGTTGGGTCATGCCTGTTGATGGAGGTAGTTGCTGGCTCTAACTCCTCACCCGCTGATCAAACACTAAACCTGACTCTAATACCATGATAGAATTTGAGGTGGGCCTCACTTCTCACCCAATAAAGACTTGTTAAATGGGAGGATTACCCTCTCTTATAAATCAGTAGGCTTGATCATATCTAGTTGATATGGGACTCCAATACTCCCCATCACAATCAAGACCAGTAGGCTTGAGTGTGCTTAGTTGGTGTGGAACTCCAACACTCTCCCTCACGGTCAAACCCATATGTTGGGCCATGCCTATTGACGGAGATACTTGCTGGCTCTAACTCTTCATCTGTTGATCAAGCACTCAGCTTAACTGAACATGACTCTGATACTATGATAGAATTTGAGATGGGTCTGACTCCTCACTCAATAAGGTTTTGTTAAATGGGAAAAATACCACATCTTATAAACTAGTAGGTTTGAGCATACCTGGTTGGTATGAGACTCCAATATATATATGATCAGAAAATAGGTAAATATTATTCAAGATCATCATCGAGAAACCGGAATATCAATCAATATAAGTGGTACTGCTTATTATTACAAGGCAAAACTCCCATCCCATGCATAGAAATTAACCCACTAAATTCAACTGATTAATTAAAACGAAACTCGGATGTCTGCCCAAATGATCTCTTACAGTGAGCAATGGCGGCTTGAATCGAGTTATTCTCAATGGGATAACCATATCCTTGTTGAATGGAGGATTGTGTCGCACTTGGTGAGTTCTTTGGTTTTCTATCTCTGCAACTCAGGCTCGAACTCATTGCCTCAAGAACTCCTCTGATTGCATCCAAATTTATATCAAACGCTTTTGATCTTTGCACTAACCATTTGTCAAATGGCTTCTTCAAACTCTGACTCGTTCGAAGATTATTATTATTATTCTCTTTCGGTGATCTCTTCATCTTCTCCGTCTGTCGTCCATTGCTACTGGTAGTATTACTGGGTTGATGGTTTGGAGAATAGATGAACTGGTACGGTTTCATGAATGATGTTAATATTGTTCGAATATTTATAGATCGACACTTGATCAAAAATTTCATTATGATTCCACCGTTCGTTGTTGTTGTCGTCTTGGTAATCTTCGTTCCTTTCCTGCTATAAATATCATGCATCAACGACAAACCCTAATAAAATATTGTCTATTTTTTAACAGTTAATTAAGCTTTTAATTAAAAATGGCGAAAAAAGTTTGCGGAATTCTATCAGTTTTGCAACCACCATACATTCATATTAAAAAATGGACATGGCCGGCTGTGTGAATTACCTGCTTTGTACTACCAACTCATGGTGGTTGCTGCAGCTTTCACGATCAGAAGTGGCATCTTTCTTATTCACTATCTCCGATGAAGCTGCCGGATTTGACAGCAGTGAATTCAGTAGGCGATTGACTGAGAGGAACTGCACCCTCCTTTTGATAGTCTTTTGAGCTTTTGCAGCAGGTTCTCTCGTCCTCCGTCGTGTGTCCGCGGAAGAAAAGCCCAAAGTGGAGGCAGAAGTTGATGAGGACGACGTCGATACAGGAGTTGTAACAGCGTCGGAGAACTCAGTTCCGATACTGTCAACAGTCGCGATACTGTCCACAGTATCGGCACGAGCCAAACCGCAGTTGGGTAGAAAAGGAACGGAACTGTCCACACTCCCAATACTGTCCACGGTATCGGCACGAGCCAAACCGCAGTTGGGGAGTTGCAGAAATGGAACCGAAGATGAAAACGATATACAAAATTCCAACTGATTAGACCCATCATCAGGATGATCTCCATTCATGGGTCGCTCAAGAGCTATCTCGATGTACTGGTCATCGTTACCATCCTCCTCATCAGAGAAGGCAGCGAGCGCGGGGCTAAAATCCTGACCGCTAAAAGAGAAACTGGCTTCCAGTTCCGGATCTCGATTCATGATACTTTGCTCCATAGTTCAATATTATTGATGGAGCTATCTATCACTACTTCAATGAAGAAAACAGAGTGACGAAGCGAATTAATAGGAGGAAGAAGGTAGAGATATTTACATTAAGAGACAAAAAACAGATATTTTGGATGGGATCTTTTTGATTTGTTATATGTAAAAGAAGTGAAACCAAATCATAAGATGAGATTTGTTGTTGATGAGAGGATATCGATACATGTGCATGGCTAAACTTAAAAATTTAACTGTTTGATTCAGAAAACTTCAAACTAGAACTAGTACAAGGACTCGTGTCCATTTATACATGAAGAATCAAGCTCCAATGACTTAAAAAATGGAAGAAAATTTGTCTGCTAATTCAAGTATTTTAATGTTGAAGATGATGACAGCTTACCCCATGGATGACATATGGCGCATGTGGGAATCTTGTGGTGAAGGAAAAGATGAATTTTAATTGTTATTAAGCAATCTACCATGGGAGTTAATCCAAAAAAACTTGTTTATATTCTAATATAAACTGCACTGGAACCGAGAAGGGGAATCGTGTCTGTAACAACAGTACAAGAGAAACCCATGATTTGGTGATCTACATCAGCCAATTACTAATTTGTTAAAAATTTCTTAAGCTAATTAAGATGAGTACTGTGAAACCGATCGAATCAAGCCCTGAATATGAGGGAGTGGGGATGACTTTTATTATGCTAACAAATAGTATAGGTAGCTCCATCTCCATTTTGTGTAAGGAGCCAGCAAACTTCTGATATATGGCTAATCTTGACCTGCAGGAAAAATGTCTTCTACCCCAGTTTTGCAGCATCTTGTTTCAATTGTTTTAAGACAATTTTTCTTTTAACTTCAAAGCTAATCAATTGATCATCCTCAATTTGAGGGATTAAATTAATCATGGATAATATGTTTGCAGATATCTCAACTAATTCTTCGGAGCCTGAAGCGAATAATTGGGTAAATCCCCTTATTGACTATCCCTATTAGTATCTAAGAGGACTCGAATTCAGAAATTCGTATTAGACCCTTTTACGCTTTTACCATTAGACCACCTGGTCGTGTAGCTTATTTTTTATGCTCACCAATGGGTTATTATTGATAAATGATTGAGAAGAACATAAAATTAAAGCTATGAGGAATTGAAATAAACTTGAAAACTCTCTAATGGAAGGTTTTAAATATTCCTTTTGTTTTAAAAAATTCAGAAGTGCGAGGTAGCCAGGTCCCCTCATTGAAAATGTATCTTTTCAAGTATAATTAAGGTGGATAAGTAACCCATAATTAGTTTGCATTCATGAACATAGTTAATGATCTTCTCTGTTTCAACTACCCGAAACAAAGAAGTGCCAGAAATTGGTGTATGCAGCAGAAAGAGCAGTATATTTTCCTCCTCTGAGCCTCATATTGACCTCCTTCTTCCTTGCTGCTTTATCTGCTAAGTTCAGATAGTCTTAAATTTTCTGAATGTAACAGGTCTGATTGCTTCATTTCAATGCAGTGGCTATATACGGATTTGTTATAAAGTATGCATCTGTAAAGTGGGGCAATAAGCTTGATATGCAGAGTTCATTTATGGCCTAGCATTGATTGTTATATTACAGAGTTAAGAATCATCGAATTCTCCTCTTAATGATCTTGCATGGGTTATAATTGTTAAATGATTGATGAGATAAAAGTTTTAGCTATGGCTTTGAAAAACTCTCAAGTGGAAAGTCAAAAGTGGGAGGCGGCGTCCCCATCTTCCAACTATAAGACCGATTCCCGTGAATTGAAAAGGTTGTGCAACAGTATTTACCCAATCAATCTGGAAGCTCAACCTTAATTTTCATTTTTTGCAGCTTTTCTTATCTCTGCTCAACACTTTTCCAATAGGAAGACTGATTCCAATGAATTGAAAAAGATATGCAGACTTCTGGGCTGTGAAGAAGACTTTACATGAAACTTTTTGTGTGTGTAACAGTTGCGTCTTATCTATATGCAGAGCCATTAAAATATTGCACAAGAACTTCGTCTTTCTTTTCTGGGTTTGTTTCTTGTAGTTTAATGGAGGATTGGTTTGACAAAGATGATGATCATAAACAACACAGACAAACACCAAGTGTACATCCATATTATGAATTATATAAACTATAAAATTAAGCTAGAGAATCCATTAATGACAGTGACATAACAATATTTGATTTCTCCTTCTAAGGCATGTCATCATCCCTGACAGACAAGGAGCGCTAGACAAAACTCAAAACCAGAGCACCATCAACAGCAACAACAACAACAAAGACGACGACGACGATTATACGAAGCAAAAGAGAAAGAGAGACAGAGAGAGAGAACCAACAATCAAGAGCTTCGAACAAGAACACTCTGCATCATGTTCTTGAACTCAAAGAAGTCAACCCGACCATCATGGTTTCGGTCAACCGACACGATCATTTGTTGAACTCTTGCAAACTCATTCCCTTCAGGCAATCCCAGTTTCCCCAAAACCACTTGCAATTCACGAGCAGAAATGAACCCATCTCCGTCTTCATCGAACACCTTAAACGCCTCCGATAAATCTGACTCCTCCTGCGACATCTTCGCGTCGACCGTGGCGCTTGTGCTCTCACTTTCCTCCATAATATCTTCTTTGCACCCAAACAACATGTCATCCAACGATTGGTGCAGCCTGACAAAACCTTCAAACGTAAGTCCGACGTTGCCGGGTTCAACATACAAAGTAACGATGGATTCTAACTCGGGTAAGTCAGCGTCTAGACTCAGAAGGCTAAGGGCTTGATACAGCTCTTGAACGGTGATCACACCATCGCCATTCTTGTCAAAAATATCAAAGATACGACGGAGACGGAGAGTGTTGAGACTTGGGGATGTCCGTAGACGAAACGATGAAGATGAAGTCTTCCTGCTTAAAGTTCGGTTCCATACTTTTCCCCCCGTGGTGGCGGCTGCAGCTACTTCCTCCATTTGTACGTTAATCTTGATGCTGTTTAAGCAGCTAGCCGAGCCCAGTTGGGGGAGGGATCGGAACGCAGAGAGAAAAAATATATATATGCCGGTGTTTGTCTGGAAAGAAACTGAATTATAAGATAGGAACCGGTGATGAGAATGGCAAAACTAAGCAGCTATAATTATTGGGACAATACGCGTTTGACGGGGAAAGAGCGTTTGTGCAATATTTAAGGAGAGCCAGCCATGTGACCTTTTCTTTTTGTCTGGCCCTTTTATTTCCCAGATCTAGGCATCGAACGACTTCTTCATAATAGCAGTGATTAGTTGACTGGACCATTGATTCATAATCTTTGGTTCAGTGGTCAGGAATAGGAAGATGATAATAATATATATATATTAAACATGTTCCCACCCAAGGTTTAGTAAAATTCCCAGTTCCCACCCAAGGTTTAGTAAAATTCCCAGTTCCCACCTCTACTTTCATTTATTCCAGATTCCACCTTTGATTAAACACCGTCAATGACTGTTCAACTAATGGTGGGAATCTGAAAAACTGACTTAGGCCTTTTATCGAGCAGGTCATGGATGCGACTTCGGGTTTTGATTTCCCACAAACAAAAAAGTCAGAAACAGCCAAACAACATACCTACACAAACTGCAACACAAGAAGAGTCTTTTGGTGTAGTCCGATGATGTCGGTTGCTCTCCAATCGAGCAGAACACGATCGAGAATATGCCCAAAATTGCAAGATGGCAAGTGTGAGAGTGGCTGAAAAAGTGAGTGATGATGACAAGTGGGGGTATGGGTTTTGTACAGGAGGTCGTGGAGAGTTCAAAGATGGTTTCAGAAGTTATTTTGGAGTTCATGATCGATAAAAAAAAAACTAAAATCCAACAGTTAGGGTGATATTAACGTGAGCCGTTTCTTGTTAACATAAGTCTATTTTCAACTTAAAAGACTATCAACGTATATTAGTGTGCTAACATAACTTTACTGTTATAAACAGTTAAAATTAAAAAAATGGTATTAATTTAAATGTGAGAATCTAGAATAAATGAAACTAGAGGTGAGAACTTGATATTTGACTAAACCTTAGGTGAGAACATTAGTTTACTGTATATATTACGTATTAGAAATTAGAAATAGAAATCAAAGAAATACAGCGAATGGAGAAGACCGCATTGATATTTGGAACGTAGGTAGGTATGGCCCACCTGGCTTTACTTTCCATCCCGTGTCGGACGCACGTGGGTGTCGTGTGAAGCATTTTTCCATATAAGAAATTAGGGAGATGAACAGTTGAGTTGAGGTGGGATCCAATGGTCCAAATCCAGACTTGTTTGATTAAAATAAGCCAGTTCAGTTGGATTGGTGCGTACATAACCTTCCCGTAGGCCATAACCCAACTTCAGATTCACCACTCTCTTCTTCTTATTCAGTTGCAGTAGTTTTCAGTTTAAGTTGTAGTTGGAACTCTCGTCTCTTTCTCATTGTTAACAGCGGCTGCTACACACTTCTGCTTCTCTCAATCTCATCTCGGGTATTTATTCTTCAATCTGTCTTTGGCTTTTGTTTTTTTCTTTTAATGATTAATTTGTTCATAAATGAGTCCGGTTACCATTTGATGTTGTCCTGGATCTGTAGTTACTGCTCTCTGTTTCCAAAACGTTGTTGTTGTTATTAGGTTTTTGGGCATCGGGGATTTCCTTGAAATGTCTCGTTTGTATTGCTCAAGGGTTTAATTATATAACGTTGAAAGCATTCATTTTTTAGGTTTCTAGCTTTTAGGTTTTGCTTCGGATTTTTCTGTGTGTTGCTTGTTTCCTTCTGAAAGTTCAATTTTTTAACATTTCCGTGGGAAGATTTTAGCATCAGAGGAAACAAAACTGCTAATTTTTCATACTCCTTATTAGGGTTTTGTTCCTCAAAACCACGGTGTTGGAGGATAATTTCTGCTCAAAATTAAGGATTGCAAAGTTTTAGTTAATACCTACCCATTGTTTTCCATTTTCAACAGCTATCTCTATTATGGACTCTGCAACTTGTGCGGACCTGTCAAACAAATGCCAAGGTTGTGAAAAATTGGATGTTGTTTGTAACAAGGAAGTTGTTCAAGTATCAGCAATGTCTAATGGGTCAGCTTCTCTAGAGCCTATCACTCCTGTTCCTAATAGAGAGATCGCTGATTCTCCATATGACTGTAATACTCCGCTGACTGAGGCGAAGAGACCTACCAAAGTTCCGTGTTTTGGTGCTAAAACTGCTAGAAAAGAGGACCTAGTTGCATGTGCTGATGATAGCAGCCCCCGTGCTAAAACCGCTAGAAAAGAGGACCCAGTTGCTTGTGTTGATGATAGCAGCCCCCGAACACCCAAAGATGTTGTCTTCGACCCCTTTGCTCCTGGTCCTGATAACATGGCAATGGCTCCCCTCTGTAAGAAATATGCTGAGCAAATGAGGACTAGTGTTGCACGCTGCCTGAAATTTGAATCTTCTTTCAGTTTGATGGAAAATAAGACTTGTGTTGATGATACGGAGTCGATTTCAGATGAGGAGATGTTTGAATCTGTTTACAATAATCTCTTGGAAGCTATTGTTTCAAAGCAGACTGAGGGCCTCCTAGCTGAAATTTCAAACACTGAATGGGATGCTGACTGTTGCAAGACACCTCCAGCTCCTCACCTAAATGGAATTGCTGAAACTTGCCCTGGTGCTCCAGTGAAGCCCTCAGCAAAATCAAGGAAGATTGATTTAGGATTATGCAGAAAGCTTGAATTCTGATATAGTGGATTTGTAAGTTTTTGACACAGCTGACAATAGTGCAATCTTGAGGTTTCGATGCAGAGAATGACGTAGCGGCAAGCAGTGACTAATTTTTGCTTTATTTCATCATGTTGTACTTTTTAAACCCTAACGTTTGTTCTTCTAAATTATAACTTGTGGCACTGGGAGAATATGAGAGAATATGTTCCAAGAGAAAACAGTTCTGTCTGCCCGAGCTTCCGGCGTAGTGCTAGCATTGTATAGTTGATATTAATCTTATTTATAAGTTGGCAAGTTATTTTTTCTCTGAACATTTTCGATGTCCTTTCTCTATTTTTTGTAACAAAGAATTATTTCTGCATGGTGGTTTCTCTGTCACACTGTTTGCTCATTTATGTCAATTCATATGATTGTTTTGCTTCTATTTTGGCTGGTGACATCCTGACATGGTGAGGAATCTATAAAGGAACTGGTAATCAAAGATGCAGAGAGATCGGTACTTTTTCTATTTTCTTTTATATTCAAAATATGAACTGTCCAATTTGCTGCTTGAGAATTGAATTCCTGTAAATTTAGTAAAAGTGACTGGTTTTAGATGAATCTTGCTTTTGTACTAGTATGTCTTGTGTCTTTTCCTCAACTACTATCTTAGCACTACTTTTTCTTCAAGAACAGCAAGTCTTTGGGACATTTTCTTTGCTTTTATGCTGAGAAAGATGTGCTGCAAGACCATAATTGCTGGCAGTTTGAGTGTCATTCTGGGTCTTTATGGGCCTCTACATGGCTACATCAAGATGTGCCCAGACACCTACTTTTGTTTTTGTTTCACTGAGGATGTGGAGAGCCTTCCAAGATAACACTTATACAAAGGAAAACCAAGATCGAGATTTTGGATTCAGATTGATTCTGCATATTTCAAAGGAGTGGATGACCATTATGTGGATACAGTTTTTATATTCAACAACCATTTTCCTGCTTTCATTGATTATTTCAGTAATCAAATTCTTTTCCACTTATACCATACATATCATCAGTAAACGACTATTTTCTTTCGAAATTTTTTCTTATGGTAGAAGTATAATCCATTCATTCGATGATGAATATGGGAATTTTCTTCTGTTTATTGTTACTATAGATGCATATGACTCGATAAAACAGTTATAAAGCCACAGGAAGATGAAGAACTCTACATCAAAAAAGATGGGATAATATAAAATCAAACATAAAGTTCTCTTCCTGTATACAATATCTCCTCTCCCGTCCAGTCCAGCATCTAAATTATTGGTGACGTCTCTGTACATCAACTTAAAGGAAACAAAAAAAAAGGATTATCATCTCTGAAAAATCGCATCTGAGAATAAAAAAACAAAGAACTCACTTCTAGTTCTGATTCTGACTCTTTCAACACGCATTCTTAGTAACAATATGGAGAGGAATCTAACAGTCTTAACAGGGGGAAAAGCCAAAACTGAAGGCTGAAGCAAAGCAAGGAACAAGAAAATTATACTCCAATCGAATCCAACAAAATACCTGAAGAGTTAAAGAAATAACATGGATCAAAGCTTGTTCTTGCACTCTTGGTTGGTGATATTCATAGCAGGAAAACCAATAGTAAATTTGCAATCAGAAGAGGTGACAACATGTTTCTTGAAAATCCCCAAGAAGTTGATTCTGCCTGGAATCTTTGTATGCGTCTCCATGACTACCTGACCGCCCATTATGTCACCGATCAAAGTAGTTATATCGGATGCAAACTTATCTACCTGAACTGTAAGCCTGCATGGAAGAGTGGTGGAGCCAGCGGACGGAATCAAACCCGGGTAGATATCAGCCTCTCCAACCTGGTCGCCGCCATACATAAGGATACTATTACCAGTGCCATGCCTGAAACTGGCATGGTTTGGGTTCTCAACGAGGATTTGAAGGTCAAGGGTGAGGTTGAGTTGGAAATTAAGGGTGGGGAGAGTCACACGAGGAGCAATCCCTTCAACCTTTGCCGACTGAAGTTGAGTCTTGGGTTGTTTTGTCTTAAACACGGTCAATGCAAGGATCAAGACAACGACAAACAGCAGGAAAATAAGTAGTATTATTGCACCAATGGCAATAAGACATCGCCTTTTCCTCTGGCTTTTCTTGGGAGGAGGAAGAGCTTGATCTTGGTTATGTGTTGTCATTGATCAATGTTCAAGATGGTTGGATAGAAATAGAATTGAACTGGATCAGATCTAATCTAATGTTGAACTAGAAAAATCAAAAGTTTGATGCAAACTCTCATAGAAATAACAGTTGGGAGGGAGAGGGAGAATAAATGCTAGGTTTTGACCTGGACACAAACAGCTAAGTATTTTCCAAGTGAAAGAAGTAGTGGGAAGTTGGATGGCTTTAATGCACTAATTTGTCCAGCTTATTTTACCACAAACAGAGCTTTCACCCATGGAAGGGTCTTGAATGAATGAAATCTTTCACCTAATTTCATTTTAATATAAATAATTACACAAACAAGAGAAAGTGAAAGAAAACAAATCAGAATATTAATCTTTAAAATCTTTGCTTACTACTGACTCCAATAACAACAGGGAAATTAAACAAATAACTAGTCCAATCCAACAGTATAATTCCTCTTTTAACTGTTCTCTTTTCTCTCAGATGAACAACACAATATAAACTTTGTTTTAGATGGTGATATTAACTATGAAAAAAAAAATACAACTTTCAAACGCTGTGTGCAGTTAAAATCTTCACATGCTTTGTTGCCATCGAGGTGTTTATATTTAATTTACTGGTTTTTGGTGTGAACTGTAAATACAACCTTCATCAGAAAGAGTGTGAATTAATAATGCCGACAAACAGCTTTACTTTGAAGAAGATTCCATCATTAATATCACTATCATAAATGGAAACGTACTGGTTTTTGGAAGAAATAGATTTCAATTGAGTGTCAAACTTTGCAGCAGCAGCAGCAGCAGCATAAAATAATATTTGCGTAATCTCAAACACGAATTCTGATTGAACCACCACAGCCATTCCCTAAAGAGAAAATCTACAGTTAATAGAAAATTAGAAAATATAAATACAGATCGATAAAACTAAAGCTCTGTACATTAATAACAACGATGGCTTGCCCTTTGACCTTGACAGGAAAAGGAGGAGACAAAATCAAATCAAAACTTACTGGAAGGGAGAATTTAGTAATGGGTTTTGAGTTTGGTTCAAGAATAAGCAAAAATCGAATCATCCAATTGAAGTAAAACATGACAAAGTTGAATTTTTTTATTGCAAGAAACAAGTATATTACTAATCAGAGAAAGAAAACTACAAAAAAAGAGATACAAACGACAGCCATCTGTGAAAGCTAAAAGCTTTGACTATATTATAAGCTATTCTTATACGTACAGTGTTCTTCGCTGGTTGTACGGTTAAATATAAAGACAGTGAAGCTACAGTTAGAAACCGAGGTCACATGAACCTTAAACATTTTAAAGATTGAAACTTTCCCAGAAATTTTGGTGTTAGTGCTAAGAGGCAACGAACCCGCTACCATGTCGGAAAAAATTTGACGATTTGACGCAAACCGGTCGGTCATCACGGTGAGAAATACAACCATATGAACTGTTTCATCGCCCGATACTTTCCCGGCAGGAATCGGAACTTCTCCCACTTCCTCTCCTCTGTAAATCAACAACGCCGCGCTGTCCTTGTACTTCATGCCCACTTTGTTCGGATTTTCGACGGTGAGATTGACAGAGACGGTCAAGTTGAGATTCACCGTCGCTCTGGCCATGTCAAGCCGCACCTTGAGGTCATCAAGCGCGACGGCATCGACGGTGATTACGGGGTCTTTGGCTTTGAAAACGGTGAATGCTAAGATCACCATTAATACTATAAGCAAGATTAGAGTGACTCCTAGGCCTATGCATATGTTCCTCCGCTTCCGGTTACCGGAACCTCCCTTCTTTGCTTCTACGTCCATCTTCTTCTTCCTCCCCCAACAATGGAATCTTGAATTTGGGAGAATGTGTTTATATATAGCTGTTGGTTTTGTTTGAATTTTAATGCTCCTGGTGTTTCACATTGAAGAAAAAAATCTTGTGAGATGAGAAGCTTCTATGGAGGATATTTAATTTTCCTGCAAAAAAAAAAAAAAATTAAATTAAATTAAATTAATTAAATTGTTGAGGGGCGGGTTAGGGTTCCGGGTTCGGTTATAGCCCACTTAATCACTATCGGGTTAGGACTATGGCCTAACAGTTTGGGTGTTAATGACAATTTTATCCCCACGTTTGGAGAAAGACAGAAAGTATTCTTCTGGTCCGGTAAATCTTAAAAGTCACCGTTGTTTGGTGAAAGTATCCCTTTGGTCCAGTAAAATTTAAAAAAGTCATTACAGTCTCTATCATATAGGGGTGTTCAGTTCCGGATACCCTATACTTTTTGAAGGAACCAAAACCGGAACCAGAACCGACAGTTCTTTGAAATTTGGAACCAGAACTGGAACCGACAGTTCTGGTTCCTAGGTACCCAGAACTAGAACCACCTGGCACTTGTTAACATAAATAAAATTACAAATTATAAATTCAAAATGACAAACTCCTTTACTTTGTAAAAGTAGATTCTCAAAAGTCAAATCAACTTACTTTAAATATTATGAAATATAAATATAAATGTATTCATATTATTTTTTCTACAAAAGTTTTTATTAACCCCCCTAATATGTAATTTTATTTTATATTAGTCTCGGTTCCTAGTTCCTGGTTCCGGTTCCTAACTATAGGAACCGGAACCGTACAGTAACGGTTCCAAAAATTTGGAACCGGAACCTACCCATTGACGATTGGTTCGGGGTAGGAACTAGAACCAAACCCAGGGTACCCACCGGTTCTGATTCCAACCGGTTCTTTTGAACACCCCTACTATCATGTAGTTAGAGAAATGTCAATTATGCTGATAGCCTGATACTTTAGAACTAAAATATCCATTATACCCCTATCTATCTTATTATAAATAATAAATTAAAGAATAAAAATTAGGAATTTACAAATTAATATAATAAAAATTACAATAAAATAAATAGCATTTATTAACATTAAAAAACATTTCAAAAACTAAATTTTAAGATTTCAAATAAAAATCCTTACCTTTAAAAACAAAACTAAAAAATAAAAATTATCATTTCAAAATTTATTTTATAATTTCATTGTCCTTTAATGTTTTTCTTTTTCTGTTAAATTTCATTTTATAATTTTATAAATTAAAGATAGATTTAATTGACAAAATTTATTGTAATATTACCATTTTCAATCCATTTTTTATTGGAGAGAAGGAGATGCAACCTGTGGATCCTCAATGGAAGCTATCTAACAGCAACCCACCATCGTCGTGAGCCCCAAGTAAATCATGGACAAAAGTATTACCTTTGCATCTAGCGAAGAATCGAACCTAGAACAATTATCTAGTAACAACCTACTGCTGCTGCGATCCCAGATAAATCATGAGTAAAAGTATTACCTTTGTGTCAACAAGAATCGAACATGAAACTATGAGTTGAAGCCATGTATATTGCACAACCCCCTAATTCGCCCTTATCATTGAGCTTGAAGAATTGTATGAATGATTATATATATTCAATATTTATAAAAGTGTACAATATATAGGTTCAACATATTCTATACAAGGAAATTCAATTATCCTAATAATGAAATTAATCAAAAATATAAGGAAATATGATATTATAATAATTATGTGTGCGTTTGGTTTAATATTCCTATCCATATTCTCAATCATATTTTCAAAATATTTGTTTGTTTAATTATTTTGGAAATATTAGTATATTTTTTTAATTACTTTTAGACCCTTTAAGTTTATTAATTTCATTAAATACCCCAAAAAAAGTTAACAAAAAAAAAAAAAACACTCCCACCCACCCATAGTTGCCCAAAATTTATCGCAACAGCCTACAAACGACCAGAATTAGGCAATAATTCACCAATCTGGCATTTTCTGGCTAGATCAACTGTGGATATGGCCGAAAAAGGCCAGATATGGCCGTCGTTGATGGTCAACGACGGCTATATCTTTGCCCGTCGTTGACCGCTAGATCTAGACTTTTACAGCCGTCGACGGTCAGATCTGGCCGAAAAAGGCCATATCGACGCCCTATCCGCCAGATCCGACCGGTCTGCATCATAATGCCATTTTTCGGTCAGATTCTGATGGTGGTAGCTAGAATTTGGCACTGTGGGTGGGTGTGGGTGTTTTTGTCATTTTACAAAAAAAATTATATATTGGGGTATTTAGTTAAATTAGCAAACCTAGGGGGTTTTTTAATTAATTTTTAAAATTTACCTAGTAAAACTCACCATATTCAACTACCCTATATTATTCCCAAAATAACAAAACAAATGGATCCATAATAATGGAATAAAATCAATTTATTCCTTACTAGTGGATAAGATTTTTGATTTTATTGGGGTTCGATAAAAACAAAATTCAGTAATGGGTTTCGAATTTGTTACGAGTATAAACAAAAATTGAATCATCCCATCAAAGTAAAGCGAATTTATTATTGCATAAAACAAAAATATCAATAATCAGAAAAAGAAAATACAGACGAGACGACAACAATCTGGGATATTATAAGCTATTCTTATACGTACACTGCCTGTCGCTGACTGTGCGGTTAGATATAAGGACAGTGAAACTACAGTTAGAAACCGAGGTCACGTGAACCTTAATCATATTAAAGATTGAAACTTTCCCTGAAATTTTTGTGTTAGTGCTGAGAGGTAACGAACCCGCTACGACGTCGTTAAAAGTCTGAGAATTTGACATGAAACGGTCGGCCATCACGGTCATCAATACATTCATAGGAACTGCTTCATCGGCCGATATTTTCCCCGCAGGAATCGGAGCTTCTCCCACTTGCTCTCCTCTGTAAATCAACAACGCCGCGCTGTCCTTGTACGTCATGCCCACTTTGTTCGGATTTTCGACGGTGAGACTGACGGCGATGGTCAAGTTTATATTCACCGTCACTCTGGGCATGTCAAGCCGCACACTGAGGTTTTCAAGAGCGACGGAATCGACGGTGACTACGGGGTCTTTGGCTTTGAAAACGGTGAATGCTAAGATCACCAGTATTAATATAATCAAGATTAGAGTGACTCCAAGGCATATGCATATGTTCCTCCGCTTCCGGTTACCGAAACCTCGCTGATTCTTTGCTTCAATGTCCATCTTCTTCTTCCTCCCGCAACAATGGGATCTTTGAATTTGGGATTATGTGTTATATATAGTTGTTTATCTATATATTTTAAGACCGGCTGCTTCACATTGAAGAAAAAAATCTAGCGAGATCAGAAGCTTCCATGGCGGATCTTCAAGTTACCAGCAAAAACAATTAAATTAAATTGTTGAGGTGCGGGCGGGTGATGGTGGGTTGGGTTTCAGTTACAACTAGCAGTTTAGGACCATGGCGTAACGTTCGGTGGTGCAGCGATTTTAACTCTGGGTCAAGTGGGTGGTAGTGGGTTTGGGTTTGGGTTTGGGTTACAGCCCCACTAGATCACTAGCAGGTTAGGACCATGGCCAAACATTCAGTGACGTAGCGATTTTTCCTTTGAGTCAAGTTTAAATGCAACCCAATAGGTTTTGAAAAATAACAAAAAAATCCCTTAAAAGTTAAAACTAGAGTCAAGTTTAAGTATTTTGCGGCTGATTCCTGATTGTATTGTCCATTTTACCACATAGACCTCACAGTTTTACCTTCAAACTTTGCAACCCAAAATACATCTGCCAAGGCAAGGAGCACCCTAAACTATGTACATTTGTGCAAGCTCTTTCCCTACGAAATGCAAGATTCTTGCATATGGTTTTATATAGTTAATGCCCACAACAAGGCATCAACTAAACGTACCTCATGATACAAACCTTTTTTTTTTTTACGTACACTCCAACTAATCTCCCGAGACTCTAGAACTATCAGTCAGGTAAGAACTTCAATGAACCTAGTTAGTAAATACGAGTACGACAAAAACAGAGTACGGGTATGATACGACAAATGGTGAAAAATACGTTTGTAAAAATTCGAATACAGGAATAAAACGTCTGAGGTATATAGTTCGTGAATAATATGGTTGGGTTGATAAAATACAAAAATCCGCGAATGATACAACTAGGTTTATAATTCACGTTTTATTCGCGAATTTACTAATTAGGCCAATAACTACCCCCTATTAGCAACCAAAGAAGTACTCGAACTTATGACCTTTTGAATAATACACTTAAGAGTCCCTATCGAACCACTCGGTCATCTAGAGATAATTTAATAAATACCTTCTCCTATCTATAAACAGTCACTCACTTTTGTGTAAAGATTTTGCTTAATCACCGTTAACTTACAGTAATAAAAGAGTGATTAGCAATAATTAGAAGAAATTTTGAGGGATATTAACCACAATTCTCAAATTGATATTAAGACCCAATTTTATAATTTTTTTTTTTTTTTTTTTTAAATTTCTGTGTGCTATCGGTTTAAGGGGTGATGGTGCTAGCTTTTAAAATCCTTGAAGAGGACATATTTCTTATAAACAATGAGGGTGCGAATAAATTTTTTGGTGGTGCTATAAGTAATTGAACTTTCTATAGGGTTACATTGGTGATTAACCAGTAATAACTCTCCTAAAAATGAGCCATGGGTTGCGCTCCACGTATCCATGTTACTTGATTTAGATTTCACTGTAGCGTGGTGCAACAAATATTAATTTTAAATTCCTCAATTATTAATTTAATCGTTTACCAAATTATTTAAACGAATGAAAAAGATACGAATTTGGATCTCATTCCTTTTGTTTATTTTTAATTATAACATATACCTTGTGTACGAAAGGTTGATTATTTAAAATTAATTAAAATTATTATTATTAGAAAAATATTATGTAACAATTTATAAAAAGAGATCATGGATGTAGAATTATTCTTATTATTATTCCACAAAGAAGTAGGAAATTTCAAATGCATAAATAAAACAAATTTCATTCCATAAATGTTTTTACTTTTGTGTTTTTTTGAACAAACACAAAGTAAACGTGGATTGATAATTACACGTGTCAAGATCGGTGCAACTTGCTTGGAAAATGAGAGGTTAGTGTGAACACATGAATTTGACTTAATAAAAGGGGCCTTCAACTTGTGTGACACGACAACGATGGAATTATTTTATTTTAAAAAAGAAATATAGAAAAAGAAAAGCTGACAAAGTGGAGTCATATCGTATTCTTATTTCTGAACCCTATTCTCAAATCTAATTCTCATGGTAGTGGTTTGATTTAACTTTGAGTCACTCCATTAAAGAGGGTGATGAGACTTTAATCTTTATATTTGAGTTAATTACAATTTTCTATCTAATGTATTGGTGTTTTGTTGATATTAGGGTTTATAACGGTGGCAAGCGATCGAGTATTTGAGTTAAATAGTTCCTAGTGTGAAATTATAATAATATCGACAAAAGAAAATTGTTTTAAACATGTTGGGATCTTATATTGAGATGAAAAAAATGGTGCGCATGTGGTTTATAAGGGCTTGGACAACCTCCTTTAGCAAACCGATTTTTCAATGAGAGTTTTACCCAAACTCACAAAATGACCATTACCCAAGCCAATTCTTATCAAAGGCCTACTGTCCAACCTAATTCTTATTAATTTGGGAGTGGGCTTCTATCAAATGGTATCAGATCCAAACTCTGTTCGAGCTCATGTTCCGGAAGGGGCTACCTAGGAAGGGGCGACCTAGGAGAGTAAGCCATCCAAAGTGGGGCAACGTGGACATTAGGTCTCAAAGCATGTGAGAATGTTAGGATCTCATATTGAGAGGAAAAATGGGTGGGCATGTGGTTTATAAGGGCTTGGGCACCCTCTCTTGGTAAGCCAGATTTTAAAGAATAGTTCTACCTAAGCCTAAAAAAGGACCACCATCCAACCCAATTCTTATTAATTTGGGAGTATGTTCCTATCAAAACACTTTTGTTTCAAAGAGAAGTGGGCGAACGGGTTATTCACATTTAATTTGATGGTTAGAAAGACGCAAATTGAAAGCTAAATATAGATGTCTCTTGCATCACCCACCCATAATATGTGGAAGTATTACATAACTTCATAGTCATTCAATTTGAGTTATACGTGAAGAACATATGTAAATATTTAATTTAATAGTTTAAGAGTAAAATGTGCTAATGAGATGACTGAAAACCATATCGAAAAAGTGACAACAAGAAATAGATTCTTATTTTAGATACTTAAAAGAGAAGAGGGGAAATTCAATTAACTCTTGTATAATAGTTATCTTAAGCTATGTTTTATGTTTGTCTTAGTTTCATAAAATGTATGCGTCAAGTTCTAAACCCTAATTTAAAATTTAAATTGATTTCATTATATAAAAACTAAAATAATCAAAGTATGAATTAGGGTAAGAATAACATTTGAATTATGGTGGTTGTTTGAATGATGTATAGTATTTTGGTGAACACGGATATTGACTCGTTTCATAAGCTGTGTACAAGCTTGAAACACAATTTTGAAATGATTACTAATCGAGTGAACAACTCAGATACGATTCATTTAATTACTCACGTAAAACTTTAAAACACGAATAGAACACAGTTATCGAACAAATTTGTACCATTTGATCACATGAGACATGTCATGACCCGTATACCTTTTCCATTTTATAATGTCACATTCAACATATTTAACTTGTTTAGTTGAGTCTATGTGTAAACCACACTTAATTTGATTATTGGTTCAACCATAATTAATTAGTTTTACATGTATGGAACGACTAATTGGAAGAATTACTTAAATAACCCTTTTTCATAGTTAAATACAACCCAATAGGTTTTGAAAAATAACAAAAAAATACCTTTAAAGTTAAACTGGAGTCAAGTTTAATTTTCTAGGGCTGATTTTATTGTCCACTTGGGACACATGGACCTCATGGTTTTACCTTCAAACTTTTAAACCCAAAATACATCTGACAAGTTAAGGAGCATCCTAAACTATATAGGATTGTGTAAGCTCTTTCCCTACAAAATGTAAGATTCTTGCATATGGTTTTATATAGTTAATGCCCACAACGAGGCATCAACTAAAACATACCTCATGATATAGACCTCTTTTTTTTTTTTAATGATTGGGGGTGTTTGGGCTAGTTTATGCGCATCTCGACTAATCTCTGGGGGCTTTAGAACTACCGGTCGGATAAGAGCTCCAGTGACCTTAGTTAGTAAATATGGGTACGGCAAAAAAAGGGTACTAAATTTTACGAGTATGATACGGCAAATGGTGAAAAATACGTTTATAAAAATTCGACCGTAAAATTTGAATATAGGAAAATACAGTATAGGTATATACGAGTTTAATACGACACATTGTCAATAATACGTTTTGAAAAATATGGCAATATCAATCCTGGTTTTAGTACTTTTTATGGACCACGTAGTTAAAATCAATATACCATTTCAAATGCAAAGTATTCAATTAACTAATAACTATTAGACATAATAATATAACACAATATATAACTGAGATTCAAATTATAGTCTCCAGGCTCAAACACAATATATAGCCAAGATTCAATTATAGTCTCAAATCAAACAAATAACAAAACCAAAATTCAAAGTCGAACTATAGCTCCAAACAAATAAAATAAATAAATAATACAACCAAGATTTAAATTATAGTCTATAACGAAAACTCACCCTAGTTAGTTAATACGAGTACGGAAAAAAAGGGTATGGGAATTTTATGAGTATGCTACGGCAAATGGTGAAAAATACTTTTGTAAAAATTCGGCAAAAATTTAGATACGGGAAAAATACGAAAAAAATAGTCTAAGGCATATAGTTCGCGAATAATACAGCTGGGTTGATAAAATATGAAAATTCGTGAATGATATGGTTGGGTGTATAATTCACGTTTTATTAGTGAATTTACTAACTAGACCAGTGACTATCCCTATAAGTAACCAAAGAGGGATTCAAACTTAAGATCTCTTGAGTAATACACCCAAGAGTTCCTATCGAACCACTCGATTACTTAGAGGTAGTTTAATATATACCTTTTCCTATCTATAAAGAGTCGCTCACTTTCATGTAAAGATTTTGCTTAATCACCATTAACTTACAGTAACAAACGAGTGATTAGCAATAATTAGAAGAAATTTTGAGGGATATTAACCACAATTCTCAAATTGATATTAAGACACACTTTTATAATTTTTTTTTTTTTTTTTTTATTTTCTGTGTGTTATCGGTTTAAGGGGTGATGGTGCTAGCTTTTAAAATCTTTGAAGAGGATATATTTGTTATAAACATTGAGGGTGCGAACAATTTTTTTTAGTGGTAGCTATAAGTAATTGAACTTTCTATAGGGTTACATTGGTAATTAACTAGTAATAACTCTCCTAAAAATGAGCCATGGGTTGCGCTCCACGTATCCATATT